TCACCCATTATCTAAGAAGCCCCTATTGTCTGGAGAGTTCTTAATCATTAGCTGGAACAATGTCCCTCGAGTCCCACATATGGAAAGATAATTTTAAAATTGATGTGTTAGAAAGACTAGCTTTGAAAGATGAAACTTTCTCAAATGGTTAAAAGGAAGAGAGCTCAGTAGGAAGAATATATGTTACACTGTATGTAAATCTTGATCTTTCCATGGGTTGGTTTTATCCCGCCAGTGTTTTGGGAAGAGTGCAGGAAGCGACTCCACCCAGGCTAATTCTTGAATGAATTAAATTCATTAGTGTACGTTCCATGCATTGAGTTGTGGGTTATGAACATTTGGAAACCAGTATCTTTTCCTCTCTCAATTGCCTGCTGTTTAGACAGGGTTTAGTAAAACCAGCAGCTCAACCAAGAAAAATACTACAATTTTTAGACTGGAGGAGCCATGCAACTTAATGAATCAAAGTGTGTGATGCAGGCCACATAATTCAGACCCACCCACGGCAGAAAGACAGAGCTTTCCAACCCGTTCCCAGCTCGTCCAAGGGATGTTTGGGCCCCCTCGTTCCACCACATCTTGCTTCCCTGATTCAGTTGCCCCACATTTAACAGAGTCAGGTTTGTTACAGCATCCATGAGGTGCTGTGGTGCCAAGCCCGGTTCTCCCTTGCTGCTTCGAGGTGGATAAACGTTTTGTTCCACAGCGGAGAGGGAGGAAACTGGCGTGTTGTGGTTCTCTCTCCCCGGCCACGTCCTCGGAGCCTTTGGAGACTGAATGGAAGTGCCCAGGAGTGGCCTGGTGCCTCTGTGTGTGCAGGAGCAGTTCTTCTTGAGAACACAGGAGGCTGGAGGTCCTGCCCCAGCCCTCCGCCCTCTACTTCCTGGACCTCTCCACAGAGGGAGGGTGTGTGACCTGGGGATGCTGTGATGGGACAGCCCCTTGTCTCCACACTCACCCCCCTTCTCATAGCTCTGTGGTAGAGGATCTCCTGCCTTCTCCAGTATAGGCAAGCAAAATCGAGTTTCTAGCATACGGGAATGCTAGATTGCCCTATGTATATAATTTTTGAAGAAGAAGAAAGGCCTGTACTTTAGAACTGGATTAGATCGAGAAACTACAACCTGCCCTTTATATACATACATATATATATATATATATATATATATATATATATATATAAATATATACACACACACACATATATACACACATAAATATAAAATATATAAAATATTTAAAAATATATATGTATTTTATATATTTATATATATTATATATATTTTTTTTTTTGCAGAAGGTATCAGGTTAAAATAACAGTGGTGTCCTTAACTCATGGAAATAGCACTCAACAGAGTGAAAACAACTGAAGCATGCTGTGGTCCAGGATCCAGTGTATCTGGCCAGCATCTCTTGGGAAGCCCCCATAGCCCAGGCCTGGGCCCTAAGGGCCACCACTGCACCCTGAGATGCCAGTTTACCTGTTGTGTGGCCTTGTTCACTTTACAAAGTCTTTCTTAGATCACTTCTCACTTAATCAGGATTTTTTGAATATCTGGTAGGCCAGCACAATGTGGATGTTTGATTTTTACTGGAAAGGAGCAGGCCAGGCACAGAACTTGACTTGGGGTTTGGGTGGCTGTGCTCGCACAATGGTGCTGAGTCTTACGATGTGGTTGATCAGGAATAGCTTTGAAGTGTTCTGTGAAGCCTGCTCACGTCACTTCTTCACAGGAGTTTGGCTTTTAGAAGAAGAGCACTTTGTACCAGGAGGGCCAGGCTTGGACACAGGCTCAGTGTCTCCCAGCGTGGGCTGTCCCATCTGTGTCCTCAGATCTTTGAGGACAGTCCGTGAAGGATCATGCCAGGGGGTGGGCAGGGATTAAAGAACCGGTTCTGAATATTCTGTGCAGTTTCTCTTGAGGCCCAAGAGGGAGATGGAATTGCCCAAGGCAGAATCAGTCAACCTAGGTTTGGGAAGCCCAGAAAAATCCATCCTGTGTGTACTTGCCCTGCTCCAGTCACACCTACTTCCATCCTTAGGCCTCTGGGGTCAGTGATGCCACCGATTGGATTCCCAGGACACAAATCCTCTTCAAGCAAGCCTGGGGTGGAGGTCACAGAGCCTGATGGACTGGAGGACAGAGGGTAGGGCTGGGAGGTCAGGGGGCACAGAGGTCCAAGGAGAGCAAGTTGGAGAGTCCAGGTGCTCAGTGGCTGAAAGAATGTGCCAGATCCTCTTGCATCTCCGCCTGGGGCCTCGGGTCTGGGCACGGATGGCAGCGCCCACACCTTCCCTCAGCAAAGCCTCACCTGCACACACTGTACCTTACACTGGGCTGGTGTTGGGGGCACTGAGATGGGTGAACTCATCTCGGTGTTGAATAAACTATGTGATGAACAAACACATTTTGAGATGGGGAGAGGGTATCACTTACCTTTACCTACAAGGTCACTTGGGCACAGAAGCTGAGGAGGGGTTCTGGAAGGCTGTGGAATGTGAAATGTCAGATACACATACCAGTGGAGCCTTCCTAGACTGGAGTTGCCACAGCTGCCCCCCAAAGTGTGTGGTGCTGTGGGGAGCGAGGAAGCATAGGACTGGATCCTGTTCCAGGTTGAAGGGGTTAATCAGAGTACAGGCATTTCTGGGCAGTCATAACATGGCCTGTCCTCTCAGGAGCCATGGGTGCTTGTCAGGAGCCCCACGTGGTTTGATTCCTTGCTCTAGAGCAAGCTGCGAAGGCAGGTGTAGACCCTGGGGTTTCAGGAATGTCGGGGCCGGTGAGATGGTGACTGCTTCCCGTATGTGAGGCCCACAGACCTCGGAAGAGGCCATCCCAGGTTGGGGAGCCGGGCTGACCTCTGAACGGTGCCACGATGCCGGCTGAGTGCTGGTCAAAGGGCTTCCCCTGCGGTCCTTTGGCCTGGGGTGGGGTTGGGACCCTCCCAGCTCCCAGAATGGCTGTGGTCACCTCAGGAACCGGGGGCCTGCTCCTGGCTTAGCGCTCGCCAGCAGAGTGTGGGGATGGGGTAGAGAAAGACAAGTTTTCCCGTCTAGTTTTGGAGCCCCTGTCACAAAAGAGATCTTGGGACTGTTTTCTTTAAAACATGAAAGATTCCCACATAATTCCTATTCATGTCCTAAATTTATGAGGCTGAACTCGAGTGTCCTGCACTGTAGTTTCCTTCAGCTCGTGGGGGCTGAATTTCCTTTCTGTGTTTCATTTGTCTGAGACTTACAGTCGGGTCAGTGGGTGGATATGCTTTTCGCCAGACCTTCCACATTTAATATGACTGTTTGTTCCGGTTGGGACATTTTGACCCTTTTTGCCATTGTGCTATTTGATACAGGATTTACTAATTTTTATGGTTTCTTGCCATCGTACAATTTGATGCAGGATCTCTTTATGACTTCGCATAAGTCCCGCTCCTGGCCCTGGTGCAAGATTTTGCAGAGAAGTGTGTTCTACTGTCACTGGGTTGCTTTCTGGCAGGGCTGTGAGTTCTCTTTGTAATAACAGGACAAGGTAGGAGGAACTGATTTAGCCCTCCCCTGGAAGAGGAGTAACTCCATTGACATTCTGTTGTAATTTAGCAGTTGGTTAATGGCCACTTACTGGAGAATGTTACCAGGCTCTGCAGTGAGTGTTGTTAGAAAATGAATTCCTCTGTGTATTTCCCCAGGGCCCTTCTGCTTCTCCTCCAGGACATAACTCTGGAACCACAGGAAGTGGCACTGTGTTGCAATCACAGCTTCACTGTTCCTTTGTATTATTTATTTTGTGTTTCAGAATTAAGTATATTGCTTTTAATGGAACCAGAGACTTGTCAGGAGCCCAGGGGGTGACATGGGGGTCACTGGGTCATTTTACTGGGTCTCTTGGACCTGAAGGTGCCCAGAGGCAGCCGTGAGCCTCTGTCTAGCAATGTCAGTTTCACATGTAATTAGAGTCACCTAAGCTGAACATAACTCCATCTCCATGCCTTTACCCATGTCATTATTTCACATGGCTTGTCACCTTCTGGGTTTTGTGTAATCACTCACTGCAAAACCTTTGATCAGCCACAGAGGTGAAAGAATGTGAATTTCTGAGTCTGCCGAACTTGGATAGAATTCTGGCTTTGTGACCTCGGACGAATCACTTGAACTCTCTGAGCCTCAGGGGTTTTACCTGTTAATAAATGGTGATGATCCCTCCCAGGGATGAGGGATTGATGAAATGGTGAGTGGGCACAGCTGACACAGTGCCCAGAACATGCTAAACTTAAAATGCCAACTGAAATATGAAACAGTAGCAACAGAGTTCCCGTTTGTTGGGTCGGAGTATTAGGAGCTGAGGGACAGGTGGGGGAAGAGAACTTATCTTGTTGTTTTCTTTTGGATCCATTTGTGGAGGGAGAAAGAGATCTCCCCTTTTCCTTCCACACAAGGAGGACAAGAGGTGTCAGTGATGGTGTCACCGTGCTCTGGGGCCAGTCCGGCGGAGTCCCCTCTTCCCACAGCCCCTGGGCTCTGAGGGCTAGTTTCTGGTCGCATGGTGGAAAGCATATTGCCTCCAGCTGGATGGAGTATCTTTTGGGGAGGCTTGGTCGTCTCCCAGGCGACTCCACACTGGGATGGCCACATCATTCCATCTCTGTGTCGTGTTTTCAGTTCTTTCTTCCTCCTGGGGCTTCCGTCCTTTCTGAAGTGAATGAGATAATTGTCACTGGCCTCCCACTTAATTACCGTGGCTGCTGCTTCTCCTTTCCCACATGCACAGAGGAAGCCCATCAGGGCACTTGGCAGCCTCACTACCTGATGGCACCAGAGCCTGGATTTTTGAGGTCTGGTGGATTCCTGAGACTTTTCTCTGCGCCCCAGTCTGGACGGCGTCCCTGGGCCGGGCCTGCGGCCGCACTCAAGAACATGCCCAGCATGCTCAGGCACTCCGCACACAACTGGCACACACTGATGAGGCTGTGGTTTGCTTCTCTTCCCTCCCCTCCCCCTCTAGAGTATAAGAAGAAGTATGGAGAGGAACATGGCTCCTGCCAGGCTGGGATAGCGGGCTTCTTCACTGAGGTGGGTATCACTCTTTGGGCCTTTCTCTTCTCTCATGGGTGTTCATTTCCTGCATGGCTTCCCATCATGTGGTAGATTAAAGTCCAAGCTCTGTGTCTTGGCCCATGGGCCTGACTTTCTCCTTCACTCATCAGAGGACAACCCAGAGCTGTGGGAGGGGATGGGACAGTGAGGGGGAGAAAAGGCCTATGACACCCACTGGTTTCAGCTGCTGCTGAATCATGCCAGATCCTTACTAGCATCATTATTACAGAGGTCCCCACGCATAGTGTTTTGTGCACAAGTGCACATTTCTGTAGGTGAGCTGCACAGTAGAGGAACTGCTGTGTCAGAAGCCCTTCAAAATGTGATTTTGACACATGCTGGCAAATTGCACTCCAGAAACATTTACCAGTTGACACTCTCCCCAGTTGTGTGTCATTGTCCCTATACCCTCTAACCAATACTTAAAATTTTTGTCATTAAAAAAATGACATTGTGTTTTAATGGCCCTTTACCTAATTATTAGTGCAGTTGAGTATCCTTTTCAAATATTGGCCATTTGTGTTTATTTTTTCTGGAAATTGCCTGTTTAAAGTTCTTTGCCCATTATTATGTTATTTTTTAACTGTTGTTTTACTGATTTTTAGGATCTTGTATTTTCAATAGTAATCTCATATCTCTTGAATGTGTTACAATATTTTTCACCAGTCTTTTACCTGATTTTTAAGTTTGCTTAATGGTGTCTTTACTATATGGGCATTGAACATTCATATTTGGTCAAATCTGTCAGTCTTTTTCTTTCGGGATTTTAGACCTCTCTGTTAGGAAGGTCATCCCCATCCTAAGATTATGAAATATTCACGTGTATTTTTTTCTGCCACTTTTATAGGTTAAAAAATATTTAAATCTTTAATCCATCTTAGATTTATGCGGGCAGACATTATACGGGAGAAATGAACTTCACTGTTTTCCTAAATGTGTGGTTGGTTCTTTTTTTTTAAAAATAAATTTTTTTATTTTATTTATTTTAAGTTTTTTGGCTGCATTGGGTCTTCGTTAATGTGCGCGGGCTTTCTCTAGTGGCGGCGAACCGGGGCTACTCTTCGTTATGGTGCGCGGGCTTCTTATTGTGGTGGCTTCTCTTGTTGCGGAGCATGGGCTTTAGGCGTGTGGGCTTCAGTAGTTGTGGCTTGCGGGCTCTAGAGTACAGGCTCAGTAGTTGTGGGGCATGGGCTTAGTTGCTCCACGGCATGTGGGATCTTCTGGAACCAGGGCTCGAACCTGTGTCCCCTGCACTGGCAGGTGGATTCTTTTTTTTTTTTTTGCGGTACACGGGCCTCTCACTGTTGTGGCCTCTCCTGTTGTGCACAGGCCCCAGACGCGCAGGCCCAGCGGCCATGGCTCACGGGCCTAGCCGCTCTGCGGCATGTGGGATCTTCCCGGACTGGGGCACGAACCCTTGTCCCCTGCATCGGCAGGCGGACTCTCAACCACTGCACCACCAGGGAAGCCTCGGCAGGCAGATTCTTAACCACTGCGCCACCAGGGAAGCCCTGGTTGGTTGTTCTGATACTGGTTTGTTAAATGTTTTCTTTGTCCCCATTGATTTGAGATACCATCCTGCCATATGCCAAGGTTACCCATCTTCCATCTCAGTAAGCATATAGAGGGTGTAATTTCTATGGCTGTTGTTCCTCCATTGAGATGTAGCAAGTATGACTCAATGCAGGAAGCAGCAGGGAACTGCTATAAGTTTACAGACACAGTGATGGCAGTGCCGTAAGAAAATCTATTTGGGCTTGTCTTGTGCCCAGGTGTCTGGAAGTGGGAGAGCCTGGAGGAGGCCAGGTTGGAGGCTGTGTTGTGGTGCAGCCACAAAGGGACAGGGCAGCCTATGGGATGTTTTAGGAATAAATATGATGAGGGGAGTCAGAAAGTATGAAGGCAGTATCAGTGGGCTGGGTGACCATAGGACTATGGCCACAGAGGACTGAGGCGGGGAGGAAGGAGGTTTTATGCCAGGTTTCTGGGGAACAGTGGTACCGGTGGAAAGGGGGCTGCCCAAGGAAGAATCCACTGGGAGAGGTAAACTGATGGGTCTGCTGTATACACATGCCATGTGAGGTGAGGGGATGGGACACTCACATAGATGTTTTTAGAATCCAGTCTTGATTTGGCCAATGCTAGTATGTTTCTGAGGGGACCGGGTATGCTTAGCATAGGGCCGGGGTTGGGGGACTCTGAGCAGAATGTCTCCTGTAGGCAATGGGAGGAGAAAGTCAAGTCATTGCAGAAATGAGAACTCATTGGAGATGTTGGTGGGGAGCTAGGGGAGAGGAAGAGTCCCTGGGAAGGGATGTCTCCAGCCAGAGAGGGAAGACGAGGGCACTGGGGCTGGGGGGAGGAGGAGGAGGAGGAAGGACAAGGGTGTGGAGGGGAACCCGGGGGGCCGTGCCAGCTCCGGATTACCAGAGGACCTGCTGGGACTCCAGAGCCTGAGGGAAGCAGGGTGCGGGCAGCAGTGGGGCTGGTGCGTGGAGCACTGCAGGGAGTCGGGGGGCAGTGAGCAGGAGGGCTCGGTCCTGAACCGGCCACTCGGGGCCTTGGTCTCTGCTTCAGTTCCCAGGCTTTTGGCCTCCCTAAACAGGAGGTCTTTGAACTCCCAGTCTCCCTCGTTTCTGGAACTTCAGCTGTTGGAGGCCGAGCAGGAAATATGGTTGAAGGGGTCAGGCAGCACTGTGCCCCTCTCTTGCCCTCCTGCTGACCTTGTTACTTGGGTTTGCCTTTGCTGGGAGCTGGACTGTCCCTGCACAGGGCGGACAGCTGCCTCCCAAGCTGGACGTAGTTCTGTGGCCTTCCGGTCATGGCCATGTTGCCCCAAACTACTCTGGCCCAAGGCGACTGCTTGACCTGAACGTCAGTGACCCTGGGGTTATCAAAGCTGTTTGAGTTATGGACACTGCATGAATTTTAGCCCAGCGTTGAGGACAAGGGAGAACTTCCCGGGAACATATTTATTTTTGTAGCCTAGGATAACAGAGGTAGATACTTCTAAGCAGCAAGAGAAGACTTGGCCCAACCCTGCTGGTGTCAGGGCACCACTGTGAGAGCCTGGGGACATCTGGGTGGAAATCCATCCGGCACAGACTTCTGTCACAGATTCTGAGGACTATTCTGCCCCCTGCTTGTGCCAACCTACAGGGCACAGAGAAAAGCCCCCCAGGCTCCTCTCAGGCAGCTCCAGGTACCCGTGTGCCTCAGGAGGTTCTGCCCCTTGCTAAAGGCCCATGCTGTTGATGGATGGAGTTTTGCACACATGATTTAGGCAGTGGTGGCCTTGGGCTTTTGGAGAAGCTTGCACTTCTGTGTGTTGCATTTGCATTGTCTGTTCCTGGGTGGTGAGGAGCCAAGCATTGATCACATTTTCCTGGCACTTGTGGACAGTGTCAAAAGGGCCCAGGCTGCAACCACAGCGGATGGAAAAAGCCAAATAGAAGGGAATTCCAGGGAGATGCTGTTTCCCTGCCCCCAGCCACAAGGGTCTCAGGCTGGGCCTCAGTTTACCTAGTTTGAACTGCAGGGAGAAGGGGGCATAAACAGTAAGAGGAGAGGGAAAGAAACCAAAAGCTGTTGGTTTTAAAGGTTTTTGAGGAGAGGGATGACCTTGTTTTATTCTCTTTGTAATGTTTGAGAGAGGGGATACAGCGATATGTTAGACATACATTTCTCGACTTTTATCCTGGATTAGTCTGAATCATCAGAAAACAACACGTCCACTACCTGGTGTCCCCAAGAGCCTTATAGGCCTCTGGTGGTGCTCAAAGCTTTGGCTCGTGAAGAGCTGCTGGTTACGGCTGGCACTGGGGATACTGCTCATTTTGTCTTTCTGTGCTCTTTGTGTTCGGGCACTGATTACAGCGTCCTTTCTGAGCTTAAGACCAAGGAGAAAGTCTCCCTTCTCTGATGATCATTTGTCTTTCTCATGCCCCTTCTAGAACCAGCACAGTCCCTTACACAGAACAGATGACTATAAGGGGAATGAATGAACGCACTGCCCATGTTTTCCCAAGGATGTGTCCTAAGTGCAGAAAGTGATATATTTTTATAAAACAGTGAGATACCCCTGAGGGTATCTGGTTTCTCATCCTCATAGCATCCTTGGAGATGGATTGGATCTCAGAAACTTAAAGTGAAGTGCTTCTCAATGGTCATTCTTGGTCCACACCTTCATGAATTATCAACAGCAAACCATTCAGGCAGGAGTCTGGTGGCTTTCCTTCCAGCCATGCTCACACCCTGTTCTTTGGTAAGGTTCTTACCGAATTGACCATAGAACATGTGTTGTTCAAAGTTTTGTCCTGATACTGCTGCTGCCACACACGTGCTCTCCTTTCTGTGTGGTCTGTCCTCCTCTCTCTGCTGTTCTATTAAGATGGCTCTGGCTTTTTCAGACATTTGCTCCCAGGGAATTCAGTGTCACTTTATGAAATGTCAACAGAAACTCAGAATTCTTAGGGCGGGATCTAGCCTCCAGGGACTTGTTGGAAACCAGCAGCTTCTGACAGTGGTGAGGCCAGCTCTGTAGAGAGGGGCCAGCCTGGAAGGATGTTTCTGAAGTATAACAGTGTGGGGACCCTAGAGGCCAAGAGTGGTGTGTGTGTGTCAGTAACAAGAGCATGACCTGTACAGTGTCCAGCATCTCCATGAGCCCAGAAGGCCTGTATCTTTGGGGTTTTTGTACAGCTGAGGGGTTTCCTCTAAAACTGCCTTTATTTTAACCCTTTTGGGTAAATTTTTTCTAAACATTCTGTACATTTCCTTGTTGCCTTACCCTGGGAATGTTTTACAAAGGGATTTGATTGATCTGTGGATCTGGTATAAGTAGGAGATGCTTAATAAATATTGTGGAGTGAAAAGTTAATGAATTTGTTAGAAAAATAATTTTTATTATTTCTTACTGCAGTGTAGATACTTTAGAAAATATAGATAATCAAAGAGAAGGGATTTCCTGTTGGGGAAGATTGGGGAAGGAAAGCCTCGATAATGTCTTTCTCTATTGGGCTTATTTCACTGAGCATAATGCCCTCCAAGTTCATCCATTTTGCTGCAAATGGCAAAATTTCATTCTTTTTTATGGCTGAGTCATATTCCGTTGTCTATATGTATCACATCTTCTCTATCTGTTCATCTGTGGATGGACACTTAGATTGCTTCCGTATATTGGCTATTATAAATAATGCTGCTATGAACATTGGGGTGCTTCCTGGGCCTGTTTTAATAGTAGTGCTGTGTCTTGCTGTCTGTGGTCTCTTCTCTCCCCAGTCCACATCTTTCCTGTAGTGGGCCTCTCTGCTCTCCTGTTTTCGTTGTTTTGACTTTGCAATGAGCCTTTAGTGGCCAGAAAACCCAGCTTCAGAACCATTCCTGAGAATGAGGACTGGAGGGGATTTCTCTGGAGTGTCAGTACATCTTCTTTATCCATTCATCTGTTGATGGACGCATAGGTTGCTTCCATATTTTGGCAATTGTAAATCATTATGAATATGAAATTTTTTTTATTGCTCAGGTGAAGAAATTTTCTGGTGTGGCATCTTTACTTAAATTACGAGTTCTTTGTTGTGATTGTGGGTCTCACCACACCGCCTTCTCCCCTCTTCAGTTTCCTTCCCTGTTTACCTTTGGGTTTCTCTTCCATAGGAGCTGGTGGTGATGGGTGCCCCAGGGTCATTTTATTGGGCTGGGACGGTCAAAGTGCTGAACCTCACAGATAACACCTATTTCAAACTAAATGATGAAGTGATCATGAACAGGAGGTACACCTACCTGGGTGAGTAGCTCAAGGAGGTGACAGGTAAGAAAGGGGAAGTGGGAGTGATTACCACCAAGCTTGCCAGTGATTGCTTTACTGGTGGAAAGAAGAGTTCGTTGGCTTTAACATCTGCTGTTCTACTTAGTTGCACTTTTAGCCAAGGGCACCACAACATTGAGCTCCACACATATCAGATAGAGAGAGGAGAACAAAAGACGGGACTGAATTAAAGCTGTGTGATTTAATTAAAAAACTGACAGGTGAACCTCCAAGGAAGCAAACATTTTCTTTTCCTATTTTAGCAATTACTCGGGTTCAGATGATTAGATACAAAACGAGTGTGAGAGAATCCTGTTTTTCCATGACTTTCCTTTGGATGAGGTCTCTGCTTTCTGGTCACAAAACTGGTTGCAGGTAGAAATAATAAGAACCAGAAATTAGCATGATGGATGGCAACCTAATCCTGAGGTTTAATTAAAGGCTCAGAAAAACTTATATTTTCTTAACCGTTTTAATCCTCTAGAAGGAAGGTAGACACAACTTAAGTTAGCAGCCACCAGGCCAGAATGACTCTGGACAAGACCATGCTTATTGGTGAACAGAGAGAGGCTGTCTTTACTTGTGTAAAAGACAATTTGACATGGCTCTTTTCTTTAATTCAGGCCCTAAATGCTGTAATTCTGGGCTGAAAATGAAGCTAAATTTAGCAAGGCCTAACGATGAGAAAACAATGTTCTTTCACACTCATTACGCTTAACTTAAATCTGGGGGAGTCCCTGACACGCTTTTTGTATGGAGATTTGCTTGTGAGTTGGAAGGAGGGACTGGCTGACGTGTCTTTTCCCCTCTAAGTCTTTTGCCCAGTAGCACCGACTGTGATACCTTTACTCAGAGTCTTTGGGGTGTTTGCTGCTCTGCACGCCCAGCTCCTTAAATGCTGTCATTTATTGGGGACTTACTCCATGCCAGGCTCTGCATGTGAAAGAAACCGAGGTACAAAGAAGTCATTTAACTTGCTGAGGTCCCATGGTTCATCAGTAGCAAAGTGGGGGTTTAAACCTGTGGTTTCTGAGCCCAGAGTCTAGGTGCCGAGCTGCCCACCTGTGTATGCTCTGCAGACAGCCCCGCCTGCTGGTGTGGACCCCTCGCTGGGCTGGGAGCACCTTGGAGGAGGGGAGTTTGTCTGACATTTCCAGGACTTGGTATAGTGTCTGGTGCAGAAGAGGGAGTCAACACATGTTTATTAGGTCAGAGAATGAAGAGAAGGCAGAAAACAACCCAGTTTGGACGTGGCTTTGGGGTCGATAGGTCCTCTGAGCCTCAGGGCCCGTGGCTCCTTCCTGTGTGCCAAGTAGAGGCCTTCATGCTGCGGGATTGCAAGACTCACTTGAAGCTCTGATGTCACTCATAATAGTCTTAGGGAACGTGAGCCTCCAGTCTGAGAGAAATCAGCCACCTGGTGAGTAAGAGTTGATCATAATATGACACCATTACAAAATGCAAGCAGCTTATGGTCATAACATTAGGATTTGAGGATGAGGAAAAGGTTTGTAGAATATACAGCAGCCTGTACAGGGTTTTTACTGCCGGCAGGGCTCTCAGAAAGCAGGAGACATTTAGACTAAGCTCAGACAACTTTTACCTTTGTTTCTAGATTCTTTCTGCGTCCGCGGATTCTTTGCTCCGTCATCCATCTATCCACCGACCCACTGTCAGCTTTTTTCTGGCTCTTCTTAGGAGTGGGTGTGCATAATGGTTCACGGCAAGGGATTTGGAGACACACAGATTGGATTTGAATCTTGCTGTGTGATCTTGGGTGTGTTGCTTACCCACATTTAGTCCCTGTTTCCATATCTGTGAAATAGAGTTGGGAGATTAAAAGAGACAGTGGCATCTGAAGACATGTGTAAGAATGTTCATAGCAGCTTTATTCACAATAAAGTTGAAATAACTGGAAACAACCTAAACGTCCAGCAATAGGAGAATAAAGACATTATGATATCATCATACAATGGAACATACTCATCCATAAAAAGAAACTAGTACCATACTCAACAGCATGGATGAACCTCACACAAGTTACGTTGAGGGAAGTTTGGAACAGGCACACGTAGTATATGGTGACAGAAATCAGGAGAGGGGTGACCCGTGCAGGGGGAGGGTAGTGACTGGGAGAGGGAATGAGGGAATGTTTTGGGCTCGTGGTTCTGTGGTTATAGTCACTCTGGCTGGTGATGTCCATGTGTACACACTTGTTAAATTCTACACTTTAGATGTGTGTACTTTACTGTATGAAAATTGTATCTCAAAAAGGAAAAAATAGATGTGGAGTATTTAGCACAGCACCTGTTCCAAAGAGGACACTCAGAAAGCACTCTTTCCTGCCCTGGAGTCCTTGTGAACATGTCTTTTTGTGAGATGAGCCATTCCAGCGTGAGAAGACTGACAGCTGCCATTTATTCCCTGATAATTTATGTTCCAAGAATAACTGGATCATAATTGTCCAGATAAGGGATGCTTGAGAAGCATTGTCCTCTGATGGATCTTCTTTCTCCGCCCCTTCCTTGGTTTCTCCCCATCTTCTGCAGGTTATGCAGTTACTGCTGGACACTTTTCTCATGTGTCCACCACCGATGTGGTAGGAGGTGCCCCTCAGGACGAAGGCATTGGGAAGGTGAGGAGCAAAGTCTACGGAATAGCACGGGGTCAGATGGGGGGAGCATGCTGCCGCTCTTTTCGAGGTTTGTCAATTCACTTTGATGTGAACATTCTCCTGGGCGGCTGGCAGGTAAATGATGAAATATTGAGGAATCATCTGTTCATCTCCAACAGCCTCTTTTGAGAATTTACTTTGAAAGCTTCATCTGAGTATGAATACTATTCCCAGACCTCTCCATTCTCTGCACTTTGTCATCTGAGAATGTTTTTCATGGCTGATGCTGTGTGTGTGAGAGATGATTAAGATTGACCCGTGGTATTGTGCCATTCTCCAAAGGAAGGGTGTCCAGCGCTACCCAACTTCAAACCCTCCCCTCTCCCAAATCCTTTCCAAGTTTGACTTAATGGAACCAGGTCTAATCCCAGATATCTTTGGGGCCTTTTTATTTATCTTTAGGCCTAGATTCTCACATTTTTTCCTCCAATGTTTTAGAAACAAGACCAATTCAGCCCAGAGGCTAGACTGGGAATATACGGGTCTCTTTCTCTAAAGTATCTGCCCAGAGTGTAGAAAAGACCCCATGGATCTAGGACCGTCAGAATCCCTTTGGGAATCATGGCATCTATGGGGCCTGAAATATGGAGGACTATGTTTGTTGGATCTTTAGCTCCAGGCTACAGGAAGTCCAGTTGAGTCGATCCAGATTAGTCAGGAATACGCATTTTAACAAGCTCCATAGTTTGTTTGATAGTTACGACTGAAGAGAGGAATGGTCTTTGGGTCAGAGCCCATAAGGGGTGGACCTTTGATAGAATCTGGCTATATCTCTGGGGGCTTGGAAAAGTGGATTCTGGAGAGGCCCAGACAGAGACCACTGGTAACTGGAGCGTTCGGCCAGGATGTCAGTCTGATCAGCGGACAAGGCGTGACTGCTGGGCATTCATGAGGGTCGTTTTCCTGGATCCTCCTGGGCAGGAGTTAGGAGTCAACACTCAGATTTCTGGAGCACATGCCTCCCTCCCTGTTAACACCGATGCTATTTTCCTTGAAAACGAAGCCACGGTAAAAACCCAGGGCCCTGAGCACAGGGGCGGTGTGCAGATGAACTCTGATAACTTCCAGCAAGGGATGAGTCTTTCCAAGTCACATGAATTCCTCTGTGTGGTGGAGGGACAGAGCCAAGGGCTGTCCCCACATTGATAATCTCTTCTGGGGGAGGAGCTGCGTGTGGCCAGGCATCTCTGTAGCCGGTAAACACGCCTACCTCCCAATTCACAGCAGTGTGGATGCCTCAGTGCTGCTGACAGCAGCTTTGTTTTGTTTTAAATCACCAGTTACAGAAAACTTGATCTAATTGTCTTCTCTTCAGGTGGTTGGGATAACTGTATAGTCCCTGTCAAGCCTTAGGATGAGAATGGTACTTAAAACGGATAGAGCCAGGCAGAGGGCACCCTGGATCTAGTTAACAAAGATGAACATAAAAATGCTGCTTTCAGCTGGAACCCCTGAGAGGTGCTGGGGAGACTGGTCATAGTCGGCAAAGTTGCTGACGGTTCCACATTGCCAGGCATGGGAGGTGGTACAGACTTGCTTCCCAAGGACCCCAGGATGGCTCTCTGGCCTTCAGGATCTTGGTGGTTATAGTTTCCGGTATTGGGGCAGGAAAGCATTCACACTAAGATGGTGATTCCTGACCCCATGGGAGGCTCCCTGACACTGGTTCTCATGGGACACTCACTCTTCCCTTAAGATGCAACTTGAAAAAGAACTTCCACACTCATTTCATTTAGGAAGTTCTACACAAACAGTCCTTTCTGTGGTAGAGATTCATGGTGTAAATGCACAGGCTAAAGTCTTTGAAAGGTCCCCAGTAAAGGAATTTATTTAATGTTTAACTCTGGCATTTTGCAAACTAAACTCATATTTACCCAAGCAGATCTCATGACACTAACGTTCTGTGGAATCACTTTGTCTAAAATGCTCACGTCCATCCCTTCTCTTACACAGTTGGCCCTCCCTACCTGCGGGTTTCCACATCTGTGGATTCAAACAAACATGGATGGAAAATATTTGGGGAAAAAAATTCTAGAAAGTTCTAAAAGCAAATCTTGAATTTGCCACGCAACTATTTATATAGCATTTACACTGTATTTACAACTGTTTACATAGTATTTACATTGTGTTAGATAGTCTAAGTAATGTAGGGATGATTGCCTAGGTTATATGCAAACACTACGCCATTTTACTTAAGGGACTTGAGCATCTGTGGATTTTGCTATCCTGGGGGTCCTGGAACCAATCCCCCACAGACGCCAAGGGATGACTGTATTGTGATACCTGCTAAAGCTCTAACTAATAGGAAGGAAGGAAGTGTTTCGAGGAAGAAAATCCTTTTCCCAGGAGTTGACTTTTTGGTAGTAATTTGGAAGCTCCTTAGGTCTTACCGGGCGTGACTCCCGTAAACAGTGTGGCTCAGGAGGCATGGAGGTGATTTCTGCCTCAGGATTGAAGGACAGTTTCTTTGCAGAGTGCGTGAAATGATTTGTCATCAGCTAGTGTAGGCACATCTGCATGTGTCTGGTCAGGCATTTACATAGAACTCCCAGAAGGATGCTGATAAATATCTTTGGTCATTGCTTCCATCTTAACTGGATTTTTTTTTTCCTTCCATAGGTTTATATTTTTAGAGCTGACCGAAGATCAGGCACCTTAATTAAGATTTTTCAGGCATCAGGTAAAAAGGTGAGATCCTTGGGATTAGTGTCTTGTTTGTTTGTTTGTTTGTTTGAGAGATGTCATCATGTGGGAATCAGTTCTTACTTTTTAGAATATTGGTTTAAAGGCCCATCTGTGCCCTACATTTACATGGCATGTTCAGTTGCCTGTTGGAGCCATTACCTTCTCAGCATTGTGTGTGACCTGCAGATTCCTGGGATTCATGCGTGCTGAGACGGGGAGCGAGATGAGTTTGTACACAGCCAAGTTACAGCACAGAGGTCTAAAAGGTTATCCACGGTTCAGATACTCATCAAAATGACTATGTGCTCTGTTTCTTTCTGCCTTTATCTTTCTGCCTCTCTGTCCCTCTCCGTCTGTCTTTCTCCCAGCTCCAGAGAGATAAGGCATTGTTGAGTACAGATACATGACCGATTACTTTCAAAGGAGGCAGGCAGATAGATGGTTCTCACTCTCCCTATCTCACCAACCCGAAGCCGCCCCTCCTGCTTACATCCCAAGCCCTCTGCCACCATCGCCATGGGAACTGTTGCCACACAAAAAACAGATATCACCCGGTTCCTTTTAGAACTTTGAAATAGAAATAGCTGGGGAAGGCTGCCCTGAAATTAGTCCTGGGCAAGGTTTATCTGCCTGTGCCATCTTATTATCCTTACCCTATTGCTAATTCTCCATTTCCTGCAAGTTTCCATTATATTGCATTGTAGTCTGAAATTAAGCCAGGTAGAGATTCCTTTGATTAATACACACCATTTTTCATGGGCTTATCAGTGGTGCACACCTTGGCATGGCTTCGATTGGCAGGATTATTTGGTAAGATTGGCCACTCTAAGAGGAGACAAGTTTAGGTGGGGATGTGAAGGGGGTGATTTGAAGAGTTGTCTTGGTAGAGGCCTTAGTGAGCTCGGGGAAGAAGAACAGGACTTGGGACTTGGGAGGGAGATTTGAGGAGATAGGTAAAATTGCCTTCTGACATTCTCCTACCATCACACTAAGAAGAGGGGGAAAAAATGATGTTTCCATCCTGGGTGGGCCATGTGCCCCAGTTCAGGTCCTGCTGTGTTAGACCTGCCTCATGCCAGCCTGGCACCACTGCATATTGTTCTGATGGGGAGTTATAGTCTGAGTTCCAAAAATCCCACTCAAGTAGAGCTTTTTGCAGTTTTAACAACCATCATGTGTATTTTTAGTATATAACTGTCATAACCTTTTCAATAAAAAATACATCACCAAACTCAGTTTTGTGAGGTTTTCCCTGAGGGCAGCTCTGCATTCCCCCCGCCCCCGGGAACTATGCAAGCCTGTGTTATTTTAACATTTCCAAAACCCCAAAGCAACAACACTGGAAGAAGACTGTGAGCAATTCTGCAAAAAAGGATTTCCAAGCACCTCTAAAGTTAGAAAATAAATAACCCCGTGCCATTTCTGAGAAAGAGTCCCAAAGAGCAAGTAGGGTGTAAATGCTGCTAAGCCTAACATTTTAGCTCTTTATCCAAAAAAAATAAATGGGTGAGTTTTCCTGTGGAAAACCCTCCCTCCCTCTGCTACCCTTCCAATGTACTTCGGCTTGACAGCATGAAATTAACCCCCCCCAGCTTTATTGAGATATAATTGATATATAACACGTTTAAGGTGTACAGTGTGATGACTTGGTACATGTATATATTGTGAAATGATGACCACACTGAGGTTCGCTAACACATCTATCTTATGTAACTACTATTTTTTTGAGGGAGTCTTTAAAGTGAATTGTGGGGCTTAAACACACTTATCACCCTATTTTTTTTTAAATTTATTTCTTTTTTTTTTGCTGCACTTTGTGGTATGCGGGATCTTAGTTCCCCAAGCAGGGATCAAACCCATGCTCCCTGCAGTACGAGTATGGAGTCCTAACCACTGGACCACCAGGGAAGTCCCTATCACCCTATTTTTAGAATATTTTCATGTTCAGCTATCACCGTGCCTCCCTCCTGCTTCCTGTGTCCCCACCTCCACTGCCCGCTGCCTGTGCCCAGGACAGGCCCAGCTGATGCTGGTCATCCTGGTGTAAACAACAGTCTATAATTGAGCCCTTTCACTTTCCCAGAACCCTCCCTGTTTGGATGATAGCTTTCATGGCTACCCATCTGTGTCTGGGTCATGGGCAGGTTTGGGGGAGCAGATTTGAGAGTGGGTGACGTGAGAGGGAAAGGTTTGAGAATCTGCTTTTCCAAATTTCCCGAGGACATGATGACGTGGGTTCCAGCACAGACCAACCTGCAGGTCAGCTTGAGTGTCCTCATTATGACACGACAGGGCTCCCTGAAGAGGAGACCATGGGCCAGCTGTCTCACCTCCCAGCTCCAGAGCTGCCATTCATTTTCCTTGGGGCTTTTCTCGCCCTCACCTTGAACCATTGTAACATATGTCCTTCACTCTACCATCTTGTTTCACCATCTTCCAACTTTGCCCCCGTCATCATCTTTCTGATTACTCTCTTTAGACATCTTATTCTGCTTGTGCCAGAAGAAATGAGAAATTCTTGTCCCACTGACTTCTCCATTATTTCAGTGGGAAAGGACATGACCCTAGGCTTTCAAAGGATGCCTTTGCTTTACCCCTGTGTCCAGAGCCACACATAGAGGAGGGTTCTGACTCAGGAAACCCCTGACCCACTTCTGCTTCCGTGTGGCCAGAATCTGGTCAGAGAGTTCTGTCTCCTGGCCATAAGAGAGACAAAACCCCAAATGGTTCTGGTCTTTACTGGTTGACATCCTTCGTATAGTGCACGTAAGAAATCACCAATACATGTGCAATTCCACTGCTATGACATGTGTCCTCATATTTCCAGGGTGATGGGAGAGCTCTGATCAAGGAACACTCACCCCAAAGCATGTCGTTGCCCTATCGAAGTTTCATTGCAATAATTGAGTATGTGAAGTGTTTATATGTAAAAACTTAGATAGGAAACTTCACGTCCGGGGATTTCTGATTGAACACTGACGAAGATGCCAAGTTAAATAGACCATTGGAATGAAACAAATAGTTCCCCTGGGACTCAGCCAGAGAGAACAGCCAGCAGCTTCGGTCTTCAGGGCCTTGCCTGGGTCTTAGCGGTTTCTTTTACTAAAGTCAAGATAGAGACATTGGCAAGGCCACTGAATTGGTGACTGTCAGCTGGTTTCTGCCCACCCCCCACCCCATGATTCTGAAACTTCCCCGTGCCCTTCTCCCTTGGGAAGGGGGCAGGTGGGGATGGGGGTTGGGTGGAAGTGACCTCGGCACGTGACTGGGAGGGACTTGAGTCCATTCCCAGGCTGAGCTGCAGGAAATAGACCAAAGTACCCTCCACCTCTCTCAAACTCCCCTGGGTTAGCTACCAACAAACAGCAAAAGAAAATGCTTGTTCATGTCTGTAAAACCAGAGCCCTTCTATTTGAAAACATTTATTTTAAAAGGATAGATTTTTTTTTTTTAATTAAAAACAGAGGTTGCCCACTGGCAGCCTTTGGAAAGGGTACAGCCTACAAAAATTTTCATTTGGCCTGCATGGTATGTTTGTTTATTATTTTTTAATATGAATTAGTTGTCAGCATTTTAAAAATAGGCAATTCAAATAAAATTTTAGAGCTTTGGTTTCTCTTGAAAAATGAGATGGTTGGCTTTTTCTGGGTCAGTCAGGAGTTGACTGCCCCTGGGTGGGGATTGCTCCTTTAGCTGGGTCTGTGGACTCTAGTTTGCTTCAGTCTCCATCATTCTCTATTGGTTCTTAGACACAGAAGCTGAGTGTCACTCGCCACCTGTAAGCATGCCCGCACTGTTGTCTGCTTTTTCCTTATACCTGTTATATCACCTGCCTGGATCCCATTGGATTGTGTTTAAGACCCCCAATTTAAAATAACAGGTACTAAGTCAGAGAAAGACAAAGCACATTATACCACTTATATGTGGACTCTAAAAAAATGATACAAATGAACTTATTTACAAAACAGAAATAGACTCACAGACATAGAAACCAAATTTAGGATACCAAAGGGGAAAGGTGGTGGCGGGAGGGATAAATTAGGAGTTTGAGATTAACAGAAACACATTACTATATATGAAATAGATAAACAACAAGGGCCTACTGTGTAGCACAGGGAACTATATTCAGTATCCTGATTGAATATAATTGAATATAATAATCGAATATATATTGAATATAGTAATAACATATAATGGGAAAGAATCTAAAAAAGTATGTATATATATTTATATATGGAAAAGAATTTTTTCAGATTCTTTTCCATATATATGTATACATATACATGTATAACTGAATCACTTTGCTGTATACCTGAAATAATACGTTGTAAATCAACTATACTTCAATTAAAAAAATAGTAAAAAATAAAATAACAGGTACTGAATTAAGCTATGATTAAGCCAATATAACCTGGCTGTTTTCCCTCATCCTCCAAACGGTCTTCTGAGTTGTACCTTTTTCTGTTACTTCAACTCACGCCTTCCTAACCAGTCTTCAGCTATGCCCAAGACTGGGCGAGGGTAATCTGTTTCCCATATAACATTTATTTTCATGCCTGCCTTGTATTGTGAAATTCCATATTCCTAACTTGCTTGGCCTTGTCAAATGTCTGATACACGAGGCACTTTTATTATGGCTGTAACCTATGTCTGCAGCCTCAGCTTGCATTTGTAAAAGCAGTACGTTGTTCTCCAGGGATCAGTCCATTTGTTTCCCCCTTGGTGGGGCTCCAAGCCAGTGAACGTGGGTCTCACTTTGACCGGGGGGCCCACGTGGCTGCCAGGAGGCCAGGGGAGCTGGGATCTCACCGTGCCCAGGCATTCTGGTTTCCAGGGTGGCATGGCTGGCACAGCCTCCGAGGGGCTTGGGAGCAGATGTTTGTCAGGCTGGGCATCTGGAGGAAGGCAGGGGCCTTGTGTGTGAGGACGGACACTGAACGCTTTGTTGCAACTTGACTTGGTTGCAGATGGGCTCTTACTTCGGCTCCTCCTTATGTGCAGTTGACCTGAACGTGGACGGCCTCTCTGACCTGCTCGTGGGGGCCCCCATGTTTTCTGAGATCAGGGACGAAGGGCAGGTCACTGTCTACATCAACAGAGGAAACGTGAGTACAGAGCTGGGCAACATGTGGACAGGGTGTGGGAGAGGGATGTTGGCCCAGGGGAGTAGTGACTGAGCCCCATCACCCAGAGGAGGTAAAAAGACACGCTTCTTACCTTCAGAAAGCTCCGTGTTCCATCAATGGAAAGTTATACTCAGTGTTATGACTGCAAACATACAGGGGTCCAGAAGAATCTTAATGACTAAAGTTGAGTGATTCCTATGTACCAGGAACTGTTTCTCCTGCTTCCTGTGAATGATTTCAGTGACATGTGCACGTGGTATCGGGGGTCCCCATTTTTCAGGTGAAAAAACTGAGGCTCAGAGAGGTTAAGTCACTTGCCCCAAATCACACAGATAAGAAGCAGTGGGGCTGGGATTTGAACATAGGCAAACTGGCTTTGGAGGTGGCATGCTTCATCTCTCTTATTTTGTCTCCTTGGGACTATATACACACCTGCCCACGGAGGCAGAGAAGCCTTCTCAGAGGACATGATGGCTGGGAGGAATCTTGAAGAAAAATGGGAGTTAGGTAGACAGGCGGGAGTGGGCTGGGAGCTGGGCAAGTGGATTGAGGTGTGAGGCAGTGGGACCATAGTTCAACGTGTTGGGACTGGGAAGAGTGGAGGGGGGCCACCCCAGTGGCCAAGGGCTATAGTCACGATGTCCCTTATTCTGCAGAACCATGAAAAGGATGTGGCCGAGTCAGAAAGATGTCTCTGCAGCACAGTGGAGGGTGGGTGGGGGCAGGGGCTGAGGGGCAGCAGTGCATCCGTGGGTGCAGGAGACCAATGAGAAAGTAGAATCTTTTCAGGATCTAGAAGAAAGAATATTCAACAAGAGGGAAATGGTTAAATGAATAAATCCTGTGACCACCAGCCTTTAGCTAACATGAGAAAATGTTTATGAGATAATCAGTGAAAAAGTAGGATAAAGACTGCAGGTACAAACAACCTTTAAAAATGTACAAAATACATAGAGAATGTTAATAGATCCCTCTAGGTGGTGATGCTTGGGTAGATATTTAGCTTTAGCTTTATCCAAACAGTGAGAATGTAATTCTTTCATAATCAAAAAAGTCAGTAAAAGTGTACTTTTAAGTGGTGACCAAGGTGTTAGTTATCCTGATCGGGAGGGGGTGGTGGTGTTTAGCTATTACTAGGTGGGCAGATGCCAGAAAGGGCAGTTATTTAAAGAGGAGCCGGGGAAGTTAGAGCCTTGAGCTTTCTTGGATGTTTGCAAACTCTTTGGGAAGGTGGATCTAAAACCTGGGAGGAAAGATGCTTCCTGGTACCTGTTGGAACAACTCATGGCACCTGCATCTGCACTGACCTTCCAGGAAGGGGGACAAGGCAGGTGAGGGGAGAAATGAGGTGGTCGTTATGGAGATGAGAACAGCCAGCATTCAGTAGCTGCTGGCCACCATATATGCAGGAGACTGCTGCGTTTGCATGGGTGTTAACTTGTCAGGCAATAAGGTGATCAGCCCAACAGCCCCAGGGCATGGAATCTTGGAGCAGGATAATCCCCCAGACCTTCTGCAGCAGCTGGCACCCACACATCCCACCCCCAGTCAATGTTTCTTAATGCCATGTGGTTACCCTAAGTACAAGGGTATTCTTACTTCTGTTGAATTTCATCTTATGTGATTAATGATTGCAGGGCAGTGTGCAGGAGTGGGAATAAATGATGACTTGCCTTTGAATCTTGGTGTCACCACTTACTAGCCTGTGTGATGTGGACAAATAGCTTGAAACCAGCAGCTCAGTTTCCTCATCTGTAAAGTGGGCAGAGTCATAAGGTCTTTCTTATAGAGTCACTGTGTGATTTAAATGAGGATGTGGATATACAGTGCCTGGTACATACAAGGAATCAATGTTTCTCTCTTTCTTCACCACACTGATGGGAAGAAATCAACACATTTGTGTTGTGGGGCAGAGGTTTCGGTGACTTAAGAACTCATCACATCTTTACTGTTTGCAAGTTGTTTGAGTACAGTGGGAAAAAAATTTAGTTGTAATGAAAGCTTTGGGATGGCTTGTGGATGTACAGTGGGTCTGAGTACCTCTACCCGGGGGCAGGGTTAGACACTCTTGTGCCGCAAAACATCGTGTGTTTTTAAATATTTTATTTATTCATTCATTCATTCATTCATGGCTGCATTGGGTCCTAGTTGCAGCGCACAGGATCTTCTCTGCGCTCAGACTTCTCTAGTTGTGGCGCGCTGTCTCCAGAGTGCGTGGGCTCTGTAGTTTGCGGCAGGCGGGCTCTCTAGTTGAGGCGCCCGGGCTTAGTTGCCCTGTGACATGTGGGATCTTAGTTCCCCGACTAGGGATCGAACCCACGTCCCCTGCATTGGAAGGCAGATTCTTAACCACTGGACCACCAGAGAAGTCCCTCAGATGGTGTTTTAACGCTCTGATAGTCATGTGTCAATGATTTGGGGGTAAAGTGGGCATGGCTTTTAGTGACACCATCACCATTGACCCCTCCCTCTGTTGGTTGGTGTTTGCTTAGGAAATCCAAACCACACATGAAAATGGGCACAGTCGTGTGTCCTGTTATCACTGCTCCCACCCCTTAACCAAGAACTATTGGGTGTTGGGTTTTCTGAACCATGATTCCCTCTGCCAAGATTGCTAATACATGCACCCTACAAAACAGCTTTATAAATTTGTACCAGAAGGCAGAGGAGAGCAGAAATGGAAATATGTACTCCCTCTAAAACAACTTTGAGGATATCGCGGGGAGAGGAGACTGTGGGGACAAGCAGGTAGGTTGGTTAATAGGTTGGTGTATAGAGCATTAGGACAAGGGAGAGGTTTAGTCATCAGTGGCCGGCAGTGGGTCTCCTTCCCTCTAAAATGCATCTCAGGTGATCGGAGACCTTCATGTCACCCAGGTGGAAGGAGCTCATTTGGCCACCATCGGGTGTTGGGGGGGGATGTTTGGATGCCTGGGATTCTGCCCAGGTGTTTCCTGTCCATGGGTGTGCTGCAGGGCAGGGTGGCATTCCCGGCTCTGTTTTTTCATTCTTTTTTTGGTTATTCTGTTTGTTTTGTTTCCGTTTTCCCTCCATCCTGTTTCCCAGGGAGCCCTGGAGGAGCAGCTGGCCCTGAGTGGGGATGGCGCCTACAATGCACACTTTGGGGAGAGCATCGCCAGCCTGGGCGACCTCGATGATGACGGGTTCCCAGGTCAGTGAGCTCGTACCTGCCCTCTAACTTGCCCCTGTCGTGGGCGCTCCGGGGTCTGCCTGCCCATGGCAAGGCCCATCCATGTACACTGGGGAGAGGATGCCTGTTAGAAACCACATTTTCTGTGTAGACACAGGGCTGAGCCCTGAGCCCACTGGAGTTTTGCTTCCATGAAATCCCTTCTCATCAGCTCAGTGTTCTTTGCTATGTGTTTGTGGTGCAGTGAACGTTGCTGCTGGTCCATAGGGGCTTCTATGGCGGCCAAGTCTGAACCAGCTTCCTCTCACTACAAACCTTGCTTGTTTCTGAGCCTCTGATGCTCCACGATGCTCTGAGAGCATGGAGGAAGATCTAGTTGTCAGTTTGTGAGAGTAACGTTGATTTTTTTGGTAAAGGGAATACCATTTTATATAATTCCTTTACCCAAGAACAGAGTTGACTTTCTCAGTTATGCAATAACCATTGTCTATGGAGTTCCCTTCTCAGACAGACATTAGGGTGGGTGGTTGATATTTGCATTTCTTTTATTGGTTAGATCAGTAATTTATTCCTATGAGGATGAGGGAGAAATTTTCTGGAACTAACCTCTTCTCAGCTTCTATAATTTTCTTTCTACTTTTTTTTTTTCCTGCTGCTAAGAGATCATGTGCCTAGTTTAATGCTTGAACAAGCAACAACCAAGAAATTTCTAGACATCATGGCAGGAATTAGAGAATCCACCATTATGTTAATGGCTTTTCTAACCCAGAGCTGCTTTTCTCCCCCTAGATGTGGCCATTGGCGCACCCAAGGAGGATGACTTTTCAGGAGCGGTGTACATCTATCATGGTGATGCCGGTGGGATGGTCCCTCAGTACTCCATGGTAATTGGTGTGAAAGTGTCATGGTTGCTGTTCATACATTCATTCCACAGATACATACAACACACGGCGTTGTTCCTGCCTTCATCTTCCCCCCCCTCCAGTGGAAGACACAAACCATTGAGACTGCTTTTTAAATCAAAACATATTTATAGACTCCCGAGTTTGCTCATATCCAGGGAGGCATTCTGCCTACAAAAGATAAGATCCAAATTCTTAGCCAGAGTTAGAATGATTTATGTAAGAAGAGGTGGATTGCTTTTTCTGGTTACTGCTTTGTCAACCATCTGTGCTAAGCCAAAGGAATATCTTGTAAAATATAATCTAGGAAGACAGTGGTCCATGGAGGAGGGACGTGAAAGCTGTCACAGGGCTGTTGTCACAGTTGGCATTAAAACGGGGAGCTGGTCAAAGCCCTGGCCTCGTGCCCCAGACTTGGGAACGTGGAAGTGGTGAGTTCTGTTTTTTGCTATATCAGCTTGGAGTTCAGTCTTGCTGATGGTGGTAAGCCCAGCCCCTGGGAAAAAAGGAAGTCACTCTCTGGACAGAAGCATGGTCAGGATGTTTGTGGATGTCTGCATGTAGAGTGGCACAGGCCTGGGTCTTTCTGCCAGTGGGTCAGCAACAGAAAGGGACTGAGCATATGTCGAGAAATTTCCAATCAGCACCTGCTGATTTACTGAACATTTACTATGTGCTTACCGCCTCCTATTCATGCTGACATTTCTCGTCACCAAGAAACTTGCCTTGTATCTTGATTATTGCGAAGGAAACAAAACTTTGAACTGAGTCCTGTTCTTATAAAACGTTCTATAACATGAAATAGGAAAGTATCGAAAGTTGTCCACGTACTAAAGTCTCTAGGTAAGAAAAGGCTTTGCAAGTTGATTTTAAGAGGCGATGCATATGTGTAAGTTCAAGGTGTACGTTCCTAATTGTTCTTCCTGCAACAGATATGAGTTAGCTAATGAAGGGTTGAGGGCTGGCTGGTTTGCTGCCACTTGAGCCCAGATTCTCTCTGCTGGGCCTCCTGCTCAGCTCCGTGACTCTTGAAAGAGGCAGTTGCCAGGGGAGGTGCTGGCGAGAGCAAGGATGCTTCCTGAGCGCCTGCTCTGCCCTCTCACCTTTAGTCCTCAGAATAGCCTTGTGAGATGGGCACCTTGGTTATCCACCTTTTATTTACAAGGTGACTCCAGGCCAGGGAGGTTAATTAACATGCCCACGGTCACCAGCTAGGAAATGGCAATTTGACCATGAACCTTTGCCAGTCTGTCTCCCAAACCTCTTACTGCAACCACCGCCCTCAACTCCACATCGGGAAAAAGGAACGCTCAGGGAAGCTCAGTTGGAAAACTCAGAACTATGGAAGTTTATTTGTCTGTGAGGCATATATACTCTGAGGGGTATTTATCTACATGGACCATCCTCTGTGCATTAGAAATGAGTAGTGGTGGGAATAAACTCCTAGAGGATTTAGCTGAGGTGGCAGGAGGAAGAGGGCTCTGGGCACAGTTTGGGGGCCACATCCGTGTCTCAGGGGCTGCTCTACCCTGGGTCAGGGATGCTGTTCCCACTGTCACAAGCTGAAAGTCATCCAGGGAGCAGCCATCCTTGTGCCGCCATCGAGGTCACTCTCCATGCTTCCTCCTGGAAGCTTGTTCCCGGACCTGGGAAGCTAATCACACAGAGCGGCAGCCTGTGAGAGACCCCCAGCTTCCCCTCCTCTGGCGGCCCTCTCGTGTTTGTTGCATTGCTGGGCGGACTCCCTGCAGAGAACTGAGGTATAAATTTTGTGGTCAGCGCGGATTGTCTTTAGTAGGAAGCAGGGATCAGCAGCTGGACCTGTCCTGCCTTTGTCAGCACGCAGCCTGGCTCATTAGCTCTAACAAAGAGAAGTGGTTTGGGGCTCTTTAAAAAAAAAAAAGAAAAAAGAAACAACCATGATTACACGTTTCCAGACTCCTAATATGTATGTGATAAGGTTTGTGATTTTAAAGGAAGAAAAATCCTTTAACGCCAGGTTCTCTCCAGGGCCCAGGTCTGGACAGAGCGGGCATTGTGTGGGTGAACTACAGGAGGAAGTCAGAAACAAGTCTGGGCAAGGGAATCGCTTTTCTTTGGCCCAGATTGGTGTTATTTCTGCTGGATGCATTGTGAGATCAGGGTCTAAAGTTCTTCCATATAACTCTAACTCATTCCTCTTTCTCGAGTTTACCATGAAAAGTGTTGATTTTAAGATCCTCGTGCGCCTTTCTCAATTTGAGAGCCCTCCAGGCATGTCACGGCGGCCCCTGTGATCTTTCTCCTGCCATCAGGACACCGCATGTAAACCTGGTGAAGTGGAGGTTTCCCAAGGCTCCTGGTTTTCATTTAGAGTTATTAGCATCGAGCAGACTTATCTTCCTGGCTTTATGGCCTAATGGCCTGCAGATGTCTGTGGGATAACTTAAGCCTGCATCGCCACCCCCAAAAGGACCACCCCTTCACTCTTCCCTGCTTGTCTCAGCCACAGCATACCTTAGAAATGCAAACCCAGGGCAAGCTGCTGCTCACGTCATTGGACCTCAGAGCCGAGATGGTCTGCTTCAAGATGTGACTTTTAAGAAGCGTGCAGATGCACATCCGTGTTTCCTTAGACAGAGCCATTGGGGATGTGGGGCTCTGCCTGTTATCAAGAAACACTTCTTCAGTGTTTCCCTACAGTGTTCTGATTCGTGCTTTGATGCTTGCACATTTCCTGTTGGATGGTTTCACTGAGGTGGCAGGCAGAGGGTTATTAGCAGTTATTGGCTGCTGCAGGGTGGGGGAGTCCCTGCTGTCTCCATCTGTAAACCCTGTAGGAACACCTCCTCCCCATACTCGTGACTTCTTTGCAGGATGACTCGGTAAGGAAAAGGATAAGGCAAGAAAGCCCCAAGTGAGCCACGACTGTGTGTAAACCTGGTTCTGACATGGAGGTTGCTGTGTGGCATGAAAACAAAGCATTTCGCTTACCATCTACATCGAGGGCCTTGGGAGGGAAGCCTCCCCAGGGAGACTGTTTAGAGAAAGGGAAGAAAGAACAGGTCAGATCCCAGAACATGGCACTTTTCTGATTCAGGAAGTTTGATATCTTTGTGAGGAACTGTGCCACACAAGCATGGATGTGTGACAAAGCCTGGTTGTACAATGAATATTCTTGGACCAACACAGCATGTGTTGTGTTAGCATCTGTTGAACTTGATGAAGGAGAGATAAGTACAGATGTTCATGTGCCCTGTGGCAGAGGAGCTGTCAGTGCTGAATGGTTGGTTGAAGGCTGCCTTTTAGGAAGAAGGGTGGCTTCAGCTAAGTTTTTGGATTTCCTACAGTTTGTAGAAGGTTCAGGACCATGGAGTTCTAGATGTACTAGGTAGAGCTGTTTCATCCTGTCTGTGATGCTCAGGAGCCTGTAGATCTTTTGGTTGGCTTGATCGAGAGCTGTCGTGCTAATTCCTGTCCACCTAGGGAACAGATGACGTGTGCCTCTTAGGAGTGTTCCATGTTTAGTACATGTTTGGGTAGAGAGATATAAGGACAATATGTTCTTAGAATTTCAGCCAGCTATACCTGTATAAACACAAAAGAGAACCTCCCTTAGAAACGGAAGTTAACCTTGATCCACTTGGAACTTCATTCAACACATCAAAACACTAACACACTCATCTAGGTGGCTTTTTCATTAGCACTGAGCTTAGAAAAAATTTTAAATGGTGACATTTGACTAAGGCAAGTAATAATAAAGGAGTGCGTGGTCTTCAACTGCCTGCTAAAGCCCCCTACCCCCTGCCCCGATAAAATTCGGACTATGATTTTTTTCTTTGAACAACTTCAAGATCAGGTGTCCAGGGAAGCTGCCCTAAAACAGTCACTGGTTCTTATTTGTGACCGTGCTCCTTCTGGTGACTCAATCTCTCTATTATCTGTTTCAGAAACTTTCTGGGCGGAAGATAAGTCCAGTCCTGCGGATGTTTGGTCAGTCCATATCAGGAGGCATTGATATGGATGGAAATGGCTATCCCGGTAAGCTATTTTTCTTTAAAAGCATATGAGATAAGCAAAGATAACCAGTCTGGTAAGCGTGATCACAGATGTGACCTGTATTTAGGATTAGGAAAATTCATACAGTAGAATAGGGTATTTTGCTTGGTGTTTGACTTTTAAGATGAAAGTAGTGTTAAAGTTTATTTTTCAGTTTTAAAATGTTCTACTCCAAAGGGTTTAAGCACCAGGAAGGTGGATTTTTGCAGTAATTTCTGTGGCAGCAAGTCTTTCTGCTAAAGACCAAAAGCACTCCCCACATTTAAAATGATAACCAGTGAAGCCTCATGTTTGCCTTGGTATTTGAGCATATTCGGAGGCGTCTTCCTCTCGAGAATGAAGAAGGCACTGAGCAACCCCCCACCCCCACCCCCACCGTGAGACAAGTATTGAAAGAAACACTTGGAGCAGGAAGAAAACCATGTCATATGTCATCTCCCTGACGGACAAAACAGACCTTCACCATTCAAGGCTGGCTGGCTTGTCTTCAGGGTTAATTAATGCCTTGTGGTGACTGAGACTGAAGAAAAATGTACGATTTCAAACCCCAATCCCAAGTGATATCCGGTGTAGGTAAAATTGACTGGGCAATGGAGTAGTGGTTCCTTTGCTGCCTGAAGGGAATGGAGTAGGTGAGGTGAGGAAACAAAGAGAAGAATTTGGAAAAACCCCAAATCATCATGGAATTCAGAAGAAATGTCCCTGAAACTCTAGGTCATCTTGCTATCTTGAGAAAGTGTTTCTTTCCATTTAAAATGCCTCAGAAGGATCTATGAAAATGAATGCAATCTTGTACGAGTCTTTTTAGGTTTGAGAAAGCAGTTCTTGTTCTGGGCAATTTGTAGCCATCCCTAAATAATACCTACCATTGGTTTAACACTCTGATATGTGCAGAATGCTTCCCTGTGCAATGTACATCATATAGTTACCCCATAGGTAGCTAAAGATGGGGGTGTCTCCCCAGTTTACAGACAAGGATACTGAGCCTCAGAGAACTAAGGGCACCAGAGACCACATCATTGTGGACAGGGACCCAGGCTGCTTCTCTGTAGTTGCACGGTGAGCAGGTATGGTCACACTTCACGACGGATGTGGATTTCTTACCTTGCATTTTTCCTAAAAGAAATGGCAAGTGCGTCGGGTTCTTTTATTTTCAAATATCCAGGCAATTTAAAAAGGCTATTAGAAAATAGCAAAATTAACAAGCATACCCAAGTGCAGAAATTTTAGCAGCCCTGCAATCCACAGATATGCTCTTTGTTTTTCCTTAATGAGGACGTCGTGTAGATGTAGGGATTCAGATGCTTGGTTCTGTGAAGTAGTCATGGGAACCGCAGGGCTGAGAGGTTTATATTTGAGGGGAGGAAAGGCAGAGAGCTGTTGGATGAATGCATACTTCCTAAATTAAATTTTTTAGGAATAAACATTACCAGCTAACACTTGTCTTGATTTATAGTTTGCCAAGTATTTTCATGAGTTTTCTGATTTTAATATCTGATTTAACATATTTAATAAATATATCGAACAAGTGTGTAATAAATATATTCTGATTTAAATATTATGAAATATTGTCAACTTTTGAAGAAGACAGTGGGGATAATTATCTCCATTGTGCAGACAAGGACACAGAGAGACTCCGGGGTCACATAGAGTGAGGGGTGGAACGGAGATGATTCACATGTTCTACAGAACTTAGAGCTTTTCCCAAGAGTCATTTAATTCCAAGTGTCCCCCTCTCTGATTCCCTGATGTCCAAAATAAATATAATGTGAGCCACTTACATAATTTAAAATATTCTAGTAACCACTAAAAAGATAAAAAGAAACAGGTGAAATTAATTTTCATAATGTTAATTTAGCCCAATGTATCCAACACATTATCATCTCAACGTACAATCAGTATAAAAATTATTAATGAGATCATTAATGTTTTTTGGTACCAGGTCTTTAAAATTGTTTCATGTCTTACACATACAGCACATCTCAGTGCAGACCAGCACGTTTTGGGGTCTCAGCAGCAACATCTGGTGATTGACTGCTATATGGGGCAGTGTGGCTGTAACTCCTACAAAGTCATTTCAGAGCCCAGGGGTGCCCCCTGACCTTGAGGCTGGCCTCCATTGCTGTGGAGCCTCTTGACAGCGGGTGGGTGAAATGGGCTTCAGCAAGTTTCTGAATCTGTAAACTTGTGGTTTTCAGATGTAACTATTGGAGCTTTCATGTCGGACAGTGTGGTTCTCCTAAGGTGAGATGCTTCTCTCTTTCCTCTTGGCTCTTCGTGGGTGAGGGATGGAATTTGGTGGGGAAGGGGGGCCCAGGGGAGTTATTCATCATTAGTCAGCAGTCACTCTGCCCTGTTCCTTGCAGGCAGAGGTGCTTGGTAAGTGCGAATGCTGCCTTTGTTTTTTCATTCTTGTTATCCTCTATCCCGGGGTTTCCAGCTGGTGGGCCTTGAGTGGTTTACGTGTGTAAGAGGATAGCATCCTCTAGGATGCTAGAAGCTCCTCTAGGAGCTTCTAGGAAGAGTTGGGGTTTTTGCCTTTTGCTGTGAACAGTCCCTTCCATAGATGTGCTCTATACATAGTGTCATTTCCTGTGGGCGCCATGAAACTGCTCTATCCCATCTCTTCATCCCTGCACCCTTCATCCCGGCTCTCCCACCTTGTAGTCCCCAGCCCCCCAGGGCCTGGGAGCCTCCTGCCCCCTCATTCTTTGGTGGCAGCAGAGGGTGAGGGACATGAGCTCAGGCCCAGTCCTCGCTGTGAAGCCCATGCAGTCTGGATCTTTCCTGCAAAGGCCAGCGGGCTGCTGGCCTACCCATGAACCCTCTCCAAGTATTTCTGTCTCTGTGACTCAGAGAAGGCAACATTACACTTTGGAGCGGGAGCCAACTCATAGGTTTTGTTAACAACCTGATTTCAGAACTTTCTAAAATAGGCTAGTAGGCTCTTAGAGCTGGAAGGGATCCCAGAGGCCATGGATTGCCACACCCTAGATTCCTCTTGTTCAGCAGGGCCTTCCTCTGAGTCTCCACCATAGTACCACACAGCCTCCTCTAGAAGGACGTAGTGCCCAGGGTGGGGATTAGTAACTTCTGAGGGGACCAGTTCACCCACAGGTAATGAAAAATGTTAAATTGTTCAAGCTAGTTACTTTGCACACACTTAACTGACAAATGCTAATTTCAAGGTTTGTCATATTGGCAGCAGTCAGAAAATCCATGTGTAACTTACTTTTTCAAGATGATGATCATAAAATTCCTGAGTCAGAAATGACTCTGCTACTCCAGGAATTATAATACTTCTAATATCAACCACTACTCATTTATTGAGCACCACGGTGAGCAGAGAATTGTGGGGAAACATAATATTTCAGGCATTGTGCATTCTACACCAAGGGGATTAGTTAAAGCAAGCCATAAATACATCATAAAACCTCAGCTATATAATATGTGATAGGTGCTATATGAACAGTATAGATAATAAATATTCTAAGGATTTAGAAAAGATGATGAACAACACCCTAGGGATGCTCTAGACAGAGACTTGGATCATATTTTCTCATCAAGACACATAGCCTCAAGGGCCTTTGGCTTTCAAGTTCTTTCTTTCCTAAGAGTTGGCTTAACATGGCCAATCATGTTGGAAATGAAATGAATAAATTTAATATGACATCCCCCCCCACCACCACCGCCTGACAAATGTTAAATTGTTAAAGAGGCAGAATAGCCTTAAGGTTAAGGGTGTAAACTCTGGGGCAAGGTGGTCTGGGCTCAAACCCTAACTCTGCCCTTACAAGGTGAGTTTCCTGGGCAAGTCTGGTAACCTCTGCTTCAGGATTGTCATCTGTTAAAAAGGCAATAATAGTACTTACCTCACTGGGTATCATAAGTTCTTATGAGAGCTCAGTGAGCTAGAACAGTGCCTGGTTTAAGTGCCCAGTAAATGTTAGCAGTTCTGACATCAGTTGGGTTTAATTTGCCTGCCTCAAAGTCTGCTTCTTGGTCCCCTATCTTCCATATAACAGCCCTTCAGTATTTGAAGGTGGCGGCTGTGTCCCTCGGGTGGTGACTTCAGTAAGATGGGTCCTTTAATTACTCCCACGGGACTGGATTTCTACTTTATCACCCTTCTTCTGGGTTGGTAGTTTTTCAGGTGGAACAGCTTTCATAGCTCCAGATGGTTGCGGTTGGACTTGTGAAGCCAGGGCTCTGGCTGGTGGCCTCACGAAGTCATTTTCCCTCCCTCACTCTTCTGAGCAGGGTGCCCTGGCTTCTCAAGATTCCCCTTGAATAAAACGTGTTCCCCCACTTCTCTTTGTGGAAACCAGGCCCTCTCCAAACTGGGAGCTTCTGGCACAAAAGGCACATCTCATAGGTTCTGCATTTTCATCATTCTTGTATTTTATAAGCTTGTAGCTGTGAGCTCTAACCCAGAGGGGCTTGTCTCCTTTTGTCCTCTGTCGTGAGGGACAGCCCTCCCCAGGGGTGTAAACATAAAGCGTAAACATAAAGCGAGGCAGTGACACGTGGATGGGAGACCACAGACCCCAGCCTGGGATGGAGGGTTGAATCGGATGAGGTGAATTCTAACGGGGCCAGATGTAGAGTCCATGGAAGAGAATGCCTGGAAGCACTCCTGGGGAGGGGAGGCTTTAGGAGCAGGGCCAGGAGCACCGGCTTGGATGGGGAGGTCCGCGGAAGGCCGTGACAGCTACTCTAGGGGTGCCAAGCTCACCATATCCCATTCCCTCATTCATTCTGCTCTGTGCATTGACCTGTTGAGACATGAAGTAGCTCCCTGGAGTAATGGATGGCTTTGGGGATATCCCAGTTAGTGGTCTAACACCTTCACCAGGGTGCAGGCTCATTATGTGTCCCCCCCGACCCCGTCTCTGCCCTGCAAGCAACATGACCCCACAGAAGGCCAGGGTCACTGGAGCAACACCACGTCAGAAAGTATTCTGACTGGTTTTATTATTTACCTGGAAGTTAAATATCAGGATCAAATCAAATATCAGAATTTGAACTATCCGAGAAGCATCAGAAAGAAGTATTCCATGGAAAAAGAAGATGTGGTGTGTGTATATATATATATACACACACAATGGAATATTACTCAGCTATAAGAAAGAATGAAATGCCGTTTGCAGCAACACGGATAAACCTAGAGATGATCATACTAAGTGAAGTAAACCAGGCAGAGAAAGACAAATACCATATCTCACTTATAGGTGGAGTCTAAAAAAATGATACAAATGGACTTATTTACAAAACAGAAATAGAATCACAGACATAGAAAACAAATTTCTGGTTACCAAAGGGGAAAGGTGGGGGGAGGGATAAATTAGGAGTTTGGGATTAACATACACACACTACTATATAGAAAATAGATAAACAACAAGGTCCTACTGTATAGCACAGGGAACTACACTCAATATCATATAATAATCTATAAGGGGAAATAATCTGAAAAAGAATAGATATATGTATATGTGTAACTGAATCCCTTTGCTGTACACCTGAAACTCACACAACATTGTAAATCAACTATATTTCAATTAAAAAAAAAGTATTCCAGCCACCAGCTTCTTTAAAGTCTCAAGCACATTTGCGGTGCTGTCTTTGGGTGCCCCTTTGCTTTCATCTCAGACTGTGAAACCCAGTCTCCCGCCCCCCAGGGGTGTGGGTTGGCCAAGCTCTGCCCTCGGGAAGTTTGTTCTCTGGGATTAGCTTGAGAGGGCAGGCCTGGTGTTAGGGTGATAGGCGCTTGGTGTTAATGCCATTGAAGATTAAAGGAAGTGATCAGAGAGGCTTATGAAAGATTTCTGGGCTTTTCCTGGTCCAAAAACAATACTTGGAGTTGAAACAAAAAGGCTTGAGGGAACTGATCTGATGGATGTTGGAGATGTGCTTGTGAAGGTCCTGGTCTGTCATTTCAAAGGACTGTTGTTTTTTTTTTAAACAATGGCTCATGGAGGTCCTATTGTCTGTACCACTCACTTCTGCTTCCTACTCACCTCGCCTTCCCCTGCCAGGCTCTGCCAGGAGAAGAAGTGTCCTCCCCACGAGGGGGTCCTGGGGTGATAGGAGGGCCTGGGCTGCTTTTGTGCAGTGACTGGCAGGACACATGGGCAGCTGGGGTTCTCACAGGGTGGACGCCCTGTTTTGTGAAACTTTGGCTCCTCCTGTGGTTTTCAATCCCTTGGCCTGGAGAGGAGGTTTCACCCATTTAACAAGGTTTTTTTTTTTGTTTTAATTTTTATTGGAGTATAGTTGATTTACAGTGTTGTGTTAGTTTCAGGTGTACAGCAAAGTGAATCAGTTATACATATACATATATCCACTCTTTTTAAGATTCTTTTCCCATATAGGCCATTGCAGAGTATTGAGTAGAGTTCTCTGTGCTATACAGTAGGTCCTTATTAGTTATCTATTTTATATATAGTAGTGTGTATATGTCAGTCCCAATCTCCCAATTTATCCCTCCCACCCTTTCCCCCCGGTAACCGTAAGTTTGTTTTCTACATCTGTGATTCTATTTCTGTTTTGTGAGTAAGTTCATATAACAAGCGTTTTTGAATACTTACTCTCCTGGGAATATCAGGATGAACTCACCAGGATTCCCACCACCCTCGGAGGGCCTACAGGGCAGGTGGAGCGGGTTTGGAAATGGACAGTGACCTTAATTACTAGATGAGGCGAGGTGTGAACACAGTGTCGGGAACACAGAGAAGGAAGACATCCAAGTGCCAGGGGTGCTAAGGAACACTCGAGCATTTTCCAAGGATGAACCCAGAAGGAAGTTGGAAAACCGGATATTGGATTTCTTCCAGGCAGCACTGTTGTCTGGCTTCCGTTAGACCTACAGCTGTATCTGCTCTGGGATCCTGCAGTTCCTTTCTACCTGTCACAGCTGTTCCTCTCTTGACCCATGTCTCAAGGCAGTGCTGGCAATAGTGAAATCCCCTAACCCCATCTGGGCCATGCAGCTCCTCGCTTCCTTTTTTCTCTGAGGTTTTCCTTAACGCTTTCTTTTCTCAGAGTTGGTGTTGGTCCTGGTTCCCATCTGTCTTGTCCCCCTGGATGCTCTTTGTGGGATCACTGAACACAAGTGAGGTCATTGTTCTCAAGCTGCTAATGCCCCTTAATCTTGTTATGTCACCCCAGTGGCGTGAAGGCCAGGGCTCCTTGGAGGTAAAAGGGTCTTTTTGTGAGGCCTGGAGGGGAGAAGGTTAAGCCATAGCTTAGGTGAACCGTCCCTCAGCAGATGTTTGCAACAAGAGCAGAATGGTGTGATTCACTCTCTGCTTCTGTTGGGGAGCCCCCGGGGAGTCCCCAGAAGGCCAGCAATGATGGATGGAGTCCATCCATCAGGCCCTGGGGGATGATCCCTGTCGGTGAGAGGAGTGTGCTTGTTTATTGGGTTTCACTTTTGGTCCCACCACCAGGCAGGTTGGTTTCTTCAGCTCTAAAGTGCTTTGGTGTTACCAGCTGGGACTCCATTCATCAAGGTCTTTTAGAAAAATACTTAATTAATTGATGGGAGTAAATGAAGAGAGTAGGTTTGACCCACTGGATGGGACTTTGCAGTTCATGCTTGTAATGGCAGTAAATGCTTTGGGGAATTCCTGCTTATGTATCTATCTCTTGAGTCACAGCATCCCCTATAGGGACGCCTCTTAAATCTATTCCTATCTTCCTAGTATAATGGAAATCAGAACTTAACTGGTGAAATTTTAAATAATCTCTCAGCATCTTGTGGTTCATTTACGGCTTCAAGCAGATAGATGTGTTTTGTTAACAACTAACTTGCCTTCATTATTGGGAAGATAATGATTCATTTATTGGGAAATAAGCTGAGAAACCGGAGAAAAGGATTTGCAGAGCACCCTGGCCATTCTCTCTTGGGCTGTTTCACACTTTAATTAGAGGCTGGGCTGAAGCCCTGGGATTTGTCCTGTTGGTTTACTTCTCATTTGGTTCTGAGTGCTGCTCTTCACCGTGACTAAGTCGCCTTCCTCTTGACCTGTAGGGCGAGACCCGTCATCACGGTGGATGTCTCCATCTTCCTCCCCACCTCCATCAACATCACGGCGCCCCAGTGCCACGATGGCCAGCAGCCTGTGAACTGCCTGAATGTCACCGCCTGCTTTAGCTTCCACGGCAAGCACGTTCCGGGAGAAATAGGTAAAGAGCCACCGAGTCAAGGCTCAGCATAGCCATCTTAGCTGGAGTGGGCATGTGGGGTCATGGGAAGCCAGGGGATGTTTCTGGGGTTCCCTCCTGCTGTGCATCCCAGCTGGTTTTGTAGGCAGCAGGCCCACAGGCTAGATGCCCTTTCCCCTGAGGTTCCCCCTCTTCTTTTCTTACCATTGTTTTTCCAATTCATTGCAACCTCTAGCTCTCAGACAAATAATATTTGACTCTAAGCATCCTTTCTGCAAATTTCCATGGACCAGACTGAAACCTCACTGGGCCACGTGTGGGATAGGTGGTGGGGCTTGTGGAAATGCAGTGAATAGCCTGGCCCTTCTGGAACATTCCATGCAGTTAGAAAAAAGAAGTGGTGGGACTTTGGAGGCTCTCCCTTGAGCTTGCAACACCAGTCAGATGTCAGGGGCTTGTGTTCTTTACTGTGGAATCAGAGACCGAGGATGGGTGGTGGGATTAGGATTGCTGAGTTTTACAAAGGCTCGGGCTTCCAAAAGGTGGGGAAGCTGCTTTGTTAGCTTCAGATGTTGGAGAAGGGGCAGGCGAACCCTGGCCAGTGGCAGCTGTCCCTGCCGTTTCTCTGACTGGGAGAGGGCGACTTGCTGGCCCAGCTCCAGAGACTGGGCCAAGCCCAGGAACAAAATAGGATCAGTGTGTATTAGAATTCAAAGTGTGTGATCACCTGAAGGAAATGAATCTGGAGCAGCTGTGCAGATTAAGAGGTCTTTTAACTTGAGAGACATTGAATAATAGAAAGTAGAGTTCCAGGAAAATGAAACAAAACAAAACAAAACAATAAACACCACCACTATTAAGGACCTGGACTCATTGAATTTCTTAGACAGTTTTTGTGTCATGAGTGTCTCCCCTCCCTACTCACTGTGTAGTCCTTGGACCAGCAGTATCAGCATTTCCTGGGAGCTTGTTAGAAATGCAGAATCGGAGGCCCTGATCTGAACCTCTGAACCAGAAACTGGATTTAGATCCCCACAAGATGCTAGTACACATTTAAGTTTGAGAAGCTCTGCTCTGGAGCACATGTATGTGGGCGCCCAGACACGCAGAGCTCACGGTGCACACACTATTCCATTTCTCTGCTGCACCTTGAATGCTCTACCTTATTTAACAATATGCTAATCCTTCTAGGCTGTTTCATTGGCATTTCTCTTGATCTTCAGGTGGATTGAATAAGCTCAACAATGAAGCCTTGTGTTTTTTATATGGATTTTTGAAAAAGAACTTAGAAATTTCAAAACTGAATATAAATTTACTGTGAACTTGGGACTTGGTTAGTGAGAGAGGACTAACAAACTTTTTGTGTGCAACCCAGTGAGAAAAAGATACTTGGTCCGGATCATACAGGTCTCGGTGAAGCCAAGAGTTGAATTCTGGTCTGATGATACTATTGCTTTCCAAAAATGATTTCCCACCACCTCCCTAATTGTTTAAGGCACCACAGTCTCTAGGAAAAAAATGTTCTGATGGTCTTGGGACTCATATATCCTCTGCCTAATTAGATGGTGTGTCCTTTATCAATACCAACTTGTGATGTAGTTGAACTCCATTAAGGAACATTTTAAAGGAATTGTTGAGTTGAAGATTACTTCTGTTGTGTTTAAAAATAAGCAGAACTACTCTACAATTCTAAGAACAGCAAGCAATTAATAGTTCATGTGTGTGTTCATTTGACAAATATTTACCGTTCGCCTGCACGGGCCAGCCGTGTCCTCACGGAGTTTTTAATGGGAATTAGAAGGAGTTTCTGTTTTGATCCTGAAGCTGCATACACAGTTTTCAGACTCAATAACTACATCACTGTGGTGGTGAAAATGGAGGTAAGTTGGGTAGAGCAGGAATAGAGGAGAAGAAATCAAGATGCAAATTTTGAGCGAGAGTGATTTCAGAGCATATGAGATCAGTGGGAGAGCAAACTCTGATTTGTAGGTTCAGGGGCTGAGCCAGGAGGAGATGTGGGTTTCTCCTCATGCTGCCCCCCACAAGTGGCTCCTTCTGGAACCCCAGTCATTGACCCCAGCCACCAGGGCCCCTTTCATTGACCCTGGTCATCGGGGACCCTTTCCTTGACCCCAGTCATTGGGGCCCCTTTCATTGACCTCCAGGCAGAATTATAATTAAGGTCCAGGCTAGCAATGGCCCTTCAGTGCTGGGGTATGATGGAAGAGACAGGCTGTCAGATGACATCCAGTGTTGCCTTCATGGGCAGCAACCTGGCTAATGTCCACCTTAGGATGTGGAACGTTGAGCAGGAGCACCTGCCCCAGTGCAGGTTACTTCCTTACCCTCCATCTGCCACATGGGTTCATTGATGAAATTAGACATCCCTTGACAGTCTAAGGGGATGTTTGCCCACATTTATTTAAGATTCAGGCATGAAGAGGATGATAACTGGAGACTTTGGGTATTCGTAGGGCAAAGCAGGAAATTTTCTGTCCCTGGCATTTTCTGTTCCTTCCCCTGCCATTCAGGGAAATGAGCTATATCTCAGCCTTCGCAGTAAAGGGAGAAATGTAGAAATCTGCCGCAAAATAAGCTGGCAGGGGAATACAGAGAGTTTGAGGAGGGAATTATGGGAAGTCATGATGGTGTGATGAGGAATCAGGTGGAGGCAAAGTAGCCAGGTGGATCCAGATGTGGGCAGAGTGCAGCATAGAAGCAGCCCCTTGGTTCTGTACCACCGGGAAGATCAGGTCCCCTGTTTCCATATCCAGGAAGGATGGGAGCACCTTCAGCACACAGACATCCTCCTCTCTCCTCCAGGCCCAGCAGCCAGTGCTGGCCAGCTCAGTGTCATTGCTCAGGCCTCTGTGTTGGGAGCCCAGGGCTGGAACTCCAGTTATGAGCCTTCCTTGCTCTCACTGCTGGCAGCTGCACAAGAGCATGTTAGTGGTGGTTTTGGCATGGCATGCTTGGCAAGTGGGCATCTTCTAGGCACCTCTCAGTGTCTGCATTTCCAGAGCTGAGTCTGTCAGCAGAATGGCTGCATTTGGGCAAGACAGCCTGGACAGTGCAATAAAGAGGCGCCAGTTGTGTGCTAGGTACTTCGGAACAGTTGTCCGAAGTGGCATATATCTGCTGGCACCGAAGTGGCATATATCTGCTGCGGGACCACCCTGGGGATGTCTTGGGGGGCCGTAAGCAGTTGACATTATAGTCATCTCTTTGGTTTTTTCTCTCCCTTGGGACCTGATGGGGCTGAAGCATACACACAGAGAAGGGACTCCTTTTGCCTCTTCATTTTCTGTGTTGGTAATGGAAAAACCAAAGCTCCCACTTGGTCACAGAACATTCAGGGCCAGCTGATGACCCAAGCCACTAGAGGGGCTGCTGCCGCTTCTGGCAATGCTGTGGGAACTACAGAGGTTCTTTACGGGGGTGACTTTGCCTTGGCGCCAGTGACAGCTTGGCAGGGTCCATTCAGGAAGATGGAAACCACACCAGTTATTTTAACAGAGAGCGTTTAACGTTTGGAATCAGTTAAGCAGGTCATGGAGGACCCGGAAGTAACTGCAGGAAGCAGCCACCACTTCTAGGTCTGCATCAGGGATCTCAAAGGTGGTTTCCAGACCGGCTGCCACAGCAGTACATGGAATCTTGTTAGACATGTGAATTCTGCCTGATTTGGAAACTCTGAGGGTGGGGCCCAGCAAAACGTGTTTTAAAGGAATTTTTTTAATATATAAAAATTTATTTATTTATTTACTGGCTGAGTTTGGTCTTTGTTGCTGCATGTGGGCTTTCTCTAGTTGTGGCCAGCCGGGGCTACTCTTTGTTGTGGTGCACAGGCTTCTCATTGCAGTGGATTCTCTTGTTGTGGAGCATAGGCTCTAGGCACGCAAGCTTCAGAAGTTGTGGCTCACGGGCTCTAGAGCGCAGGCTCAGTAGTTGTGGCTCACGGGCTTTGTTGCTCTGTGGCGTGAGGGATCTTCCCGGACCAGGGCTCGAACCCGTGTCCCCTGCATTAGCAGGCGGATTCTTAACCACTGCACCACCAGGGAAGCCCGCAAAATGTGTTTTAACAAGCTTGCAGCTGGCTTAGGTTTGAGAACCTCTGGTCAAGGGGAACAAAGGGAAAAGGTTATACACGTGGGGGACCACTTCCTTGGGGTCATCAGAACATAGAAGCTTGGAGAAGCGACCTTGCGGACCTGGCATCTAAACCTCAGAAGAGGGGACAGTGGCTGGTGCTGCTGGTACCTCAGAGGGGTGCAGTGAGGCTGGTTCTGAGGTGTGGGGGAAACATGAAACGAGAATTAACTGCTGTTGGAGGCGGCCACCATGGAAAACTGTCGCTGGGTTAAGCTCATGGGAAGCCCCTTCCCCTCTTCCAGCCTTGCAGCCTCCCTCAAGCTCTCCATGTCTGCAGGGCCTCCCAGAGAGCTACTGGCAAGGCAGAAGTGAGGTTTGCAGAGTCCCAGCCGAGCAGAGCAGCAGCTTCTTTTTTTTTTTTTTTTTTTTGCGGTACGCGGGCCTCTCACTGTTGTGGCCTCTCCCGTTGCGGAGCACAGGCTCCGGACGCGCAGGCTCAGCGGCCATGGCTCATGGGCCCAGCCGCTCCGTGGCATGTGGGATCTTCCCGCACTGGGGCACGAACCTGTGTCCCCTGCATCGGCAGGCGGACTGTCAACCACTGTGCCACCAGGGAAGCCCGAGCAGCAGCTTCTTAAATCCGTCACAAGGAGTCACTGAAACTCCTGTTGGCTCATTCAATCAACAGATAGTTATTAGGTTCTGAAAGGTGCCAGACTCTGTGCCCAGCGTTGGGCACAGAGCATGGAACAGGCCAGTCAAGGTCCTTGCCCCCATGGAGTGTGTGTGGTCAGCCCTGTGCTCCGTCCTGGGGTGCAGACACCGTGCCCAGCTCAACCCCCAGAACACACTTATAACGGATTTCATCAAGCTATATAAAACAAGAGTTCGGCTCATCTCAAGTCTTATTAACCTTCATTCTTGGCCTGGGGAGCAGCGTGTGGCTCCTGGGAGCCTCCTGGTTGCCATAAGCAAGGCAGGTGAAGGCCATGCCTGAGAGGCCTCTGCCCCTTACCCGCGGGCTGGGCCTGTACCTACTTGCCGGCCAGGCTGAAACCTAAATGCACTTGTCAGTCCTTGGAGACTGAGACTCAAGCTGGCAATCCTGGACTCTCCCCGGAGCACTAAATAGAAACCAGGCAGGGCTGAGCCCTAAGTGGTTGTGTTCTGTGCTCTGACCCAGCTCCCTCATGTTGCTGTGGCTCTCGTATAGCCTGGCGAAGCTGTGAGTGAGCAGGGGGCCTGCCCTACCCCTGGACAAGCAGTAGAGCCCAGGTCCTGATAAATGGCACCAAGGTCATGCAAGCCAGTGGCAGAAATAAGTCTGACACCAGCAAGCTTTCCCCAGACCCTTCCTCTGGTCCTAGGGATGTGTTTCTACTCAAGAGAGCATTTGCACACAGAGAACATTCCCCGAGCTCCTTCTGGTTTCTCGAGAAGCATGGAGATGGGATAATGAGGCAAATCCATGTTCTATGAGGGGGGGGGGGGGGGGGGCTCCTATTCTAATTACCACCTCATTCCTTTGGGGGAGGGCGAGAAAAGTTAGGTAAGTGGAAATAGCCTTTTTTCCCCTCTCCTGGAAAACTCCGAGGGAAGCTCAGAGTAAGTTGAAGGAGGATTTATTAGTAGAATTTCACAGCTGAAATCATGTTCTGATGGAGAATGGGAATGAATCAAAACTCTCTGGGAGCGACCAGAGCCGTGCTGATGCAAGACAGCTGGCTCGATGCTGGCCCGGGCCGGTGTGGGGGGCCCTGGGGAACCAGCTGGGGGGCAGGGAAAGGAGGAGGCTGGAAGCATGACTCTGGGCTGATCAGCTTTTCCATCAAGATGACATCATTCGACATGGCAGGGACACAAGCTGCCAGAAGGAGAGCTGAGGATGTGAAGTGCGCTGTTGGAGCAGGCCCTAATCAGAACCAGCACCTCCCCGGCCCCGGCTGACTGGGCTGGGGGCGGCCGCTAGCAACTCCACCAGCCTGTTGCTCCCGCGGGGTGGGCCGCCGAGCCAAGGGGCTGTCAGGCTGCTTCTCCGGCATCTCGTCTGCTTCTTAGGCGGGGCTCCCTTTTAGACACACTTGGGGTGGGGGCTGATCAAAACTGTTAGCAGCGAGCTCAGGGATTTAGGGTGGTCCACACTTCTTGCCACTCTGGCAGCTACCTCCTCACTCAGGCTGGGTTTCCCATCATGGGTCTCTGGTTTTGTTCTAGAAGAGAGATTTTGCTAAGGTGCTGACTTCTTTTTGTGTAATTTAAAATGCCAAAATAAATTTTAACTCAAGGAGAAGCACTGAGTAGGCAGTTCAAAAGGGGAAATGTTTACAAAATGATTGCACTTGGTGAATTGGGTAATTTGGTCTGTCTGATTGTATGCTTTCTTGTTTTAGAAATATCTGGTAGGTGAGCATGTTGGCATGTGTACAGTCTGCCCATAGCAGAGCAGCGGTTGTGGTCCTCAGCTTGGCGTTAGTAACTCAGCTGTTTCTCCCCTCCCTTGAGTTGCAAGAAGAATCTATTGGGCCAACAATTCTGCAGTGAGATGGGGTTTTGGAGAACTAAGCTTGATGTTTGTAAAGTATCTGCACAGTTCTTGGCACATATGGAGGGTCGAATTCATTCTGTTTTCTGGACTTGTCCCATTTTAATGCAGATTCTTGCAGAAGCAGAGCCTGTATCAAGGATTTGAGTGCACATTGTTGATTCAGGAGGGGATCCCAGGAAACATCAGTAGGAAAGCAGGACCATGAGATAGGAAGGGAAGGCAGCTGTATTAGGGTTCACCAGAGAAGCAGAACCAAGAGGGTGTGTGTATATGGATATTATAGCTCAGAGGCAGTCTGGAAGCAGCACTTCTTTTCTGGGGGGGACCTTGGTCTTTACATTTTAAGGCACTCAACTGATTGGGCGAGGCCCACCTGCATTCTGGAGGGTAATCTGCTTTATTCAAAGTCTACTGATTTAAATGTCAATCCCATCTAAAAAATACCTTCATCGTAACATCCTGATGGGTGTTTGACCAAATATCTGGATACCGTGGCTTAGTCAAGTTGACTAGAAACCATCACAGCAGCTGGATAGAGGGTGTGTTATTAAACAAGTTACCACTGTAACAGGGCGGCGGGAGCAGAATCCTGCTAGGGAAGTCTGGGAGCCAGTGTGGAACACACCTCACGGTTACCCCACCCAAAGGACCAGGGAGCTGGGGTCATGCTTTCCTGAGCGCTGCCCCAGGGGCTTTAGTCCTTGGTGCTCCTGGCCTGCCATGCCCACGGGTGCGTGCCATGCCCACCAAAGCCCTTGGGAAAGGGAATGCAGGTGCCGGCAGTTGGAAGTTGGGCTGGACAGCAGGGAAATGGTAAAAGCCAAGAGGATGTAGGTGGGGCCCTGATGCTATCTGCTCTGTCTTCCTGTGTTCATTTCCACCCAGGCTTTCTCTGGGCTCAGCCATTCATTGCTGACGAGATGGTTCAAACCCTCTGTTCTCTCCTTGGTCACCCTTCATGCCCACCCAGGGGAGGGTGGCTGTAGCTCTCTCACCTGGGAGGACGGCCAGGTGGGGGGCTGTAGCGGGGACCCCACTCAGCAGCTGCTGCCACCACGTTGGTTACCCCACCAAGGTCTTCTGGCTCATCTTCCAGCAACACCCATCTCCAGTCCTGATCCTGCTAAATGAAACTTGGAAACTCACTTCATTTATGTTGTACATATTCTTATTGTTTGGCTGTTGCTCAGGGAAATTGTGATTAGGAGAAAGTAAATTAGCCAAAGTTCAGCTCCAAATCTCTATACTCATTTGATTCTGCTGTCTGTGCATTCCAAGAATGTGAGTTTTTTGTCTGATAATATAAAAAATGCACCAAGAACCAGTATGGTAGGAATAGCCCAACACTGGAGATGAGCAGAGTTCCAGATTCCGCTCTCTGGCCTGCAGCAAGTCTTGTTCCCTCTTGCGCCATCAGTTCCTCATCTGAAAAATGAGGGTCTTGATGTAGATGATCCCTAGGCTTGCCCAAAAGGTTAGACATTCTACGAGTCTACCCCATTTCCTGCACTGTCACCATCAGAGCAGGTATGTAAATCTTGTATAGGTTCCCATGTTTTTTCTGTTGAAGTACTTTCCCGTGTGCTTTCTTCTGTTCCCAAAAATATCTCCTGGGATCATCCAGGTCGCAGGTACCTCCTGGTGATCTAGCCTTGCCTTGGAAATCAGCTGTTTGCTGAAATAAACAAGCTGGGGCAAACCTGCCCTTGCTGACCAGGAATCTGCCAGCTTGGCCTGGCAAGGTCCCTGAGATGGCAGAGGCCCAGGAAAACCATTAAATGCATCAAAAATATACCCTGTGGCAGCTACAGAATGCCAATCCAGGTCACTTTCCTCCTTCGTACCTCCCCCAGTGGCTGATCCCTTTGATGTTATTAAAAGCCAGAGCCATCCGCATGGCCCCAGCTTCACATACTTAAATGCCAGGAGGCATTAGGCTGATTTTTTTTTTGGTGCAAGAGCCCAGCTTCTAGGAGGCTGGTGTGTGGAGCCAGGGCAGGGGCTGGGTCATCCGCTTTCCCACTGCTCAGCAGTCTCATCTGGTCATTTTAGGGACAGAAGCTCCTTTTCTCTCACTTTAAAAATACCACGTTCCCCTGAATCCACAAAGCAACTAAAAGATAGTGTTACGTAAAAAAGTGTTATGGAGGGGCTGACCTCTGAAACAGGGTTCTGTGGGACAGAAAAGCAATGAAATGGGTCTGTTAATACCAAAGCCATATTTACCTAATAAAACACATTGTCCCATACTTACTGACAGATTCTGAAATAATGGAGGCGAAACCCTTTGGGTTTATTTATCCAATGTGTGTTCTCTATCGTGACCATTTTTTAAAGTCCCACACTGTGTCACAGTAGGTTCTGCCATCTGGCATTACACCTTGAGGCACAAGGTGATGAGGTTTCCTTTTTGGGAATGCACCCCAGTACAGACCCCACAGTGGTCATGGTTTTGTTGAACCGATAGGCACCATAAAACTGGTCACTGTATGGCGGCCTAGGAATGAAGTCAGCTTCAGCCGCCCCTGTGTTTCCCTGAGTGAAATCTCCATGAGGGCAGGAGTTTGCCCTCGTTGTTCTTTGATGTGTCTCCCATGCCTGCACAGTGCCCAGCTCAGTGGACCACGGATGGCTACGGTCCAGTAGATGTAGCAGTTATAGAGCCCGACGCAACAGCTGTGCAATGAGTCAGAATTATTGGGTGATTCCTCCCTCGTGTGGGGCATATGTCCTGTTTCTTTATGGGAGTCAGTATTCCATGCAGCCTTGGTGGTTTCAGCAGCTTCTTGTAGTATTCCTTGTAATTGTCCTGCCTTTCAGGACACTAATTGTGTTGGGTACAGCTAACCATTGATGTGTGTATTGGTGGCTCAGATGATAACTCGTGAGGTTTAAATTGTGGGGAGCTGTGAAGTGTGATGCCCAGAGCATCCCCAGGAAGACAGGGCTGTCCCAGTGTCTCCGGATTCTGGGGGTGCCTGGCTGTATATTTCTCTCTGAGATGGTATTGATCGGGGCTGCCTGCCATCAGTCCTCTGTGCAGCAGGGGGCTAGGTATTGTCTGAAGGGTGCTTGTGATCCTCTGAGGGGGTCTGGAGGGGGCCTTGTCACTGTGTCTATCCTCGCTGATGTTTTGACCTTATTCATTGGCAGGCCTGAATTACGTTCTGACGGCTGATATGGCCAAAAAAGAAAAGAGCCAGTTGCCCAGGGTCTACTTTGTGTTGCTGGGAGAGTCCGTGGGTCAGGTCTCAGAGAAGGTGCAGCTGGTCCATTTGGAGGTGACGTGTCATCATTACGTGGCCCATGTGAAGGTCAGTTCTTTTTATCCTCAAACTTTGATCTCTACAGATGTTCATTTGGAACTGGTGGAAACTTTTATTGTGCATTACATATGCTCTGACTTTCAAAATTTTATTTTACAAGGAGGAGAACATTCGTTTCTTCTTTTAAAGTTGGAGTTGGGCAGCTCTTTATTGATCTTACTGTGCTGGTCTTAGCCTTTGAGGGGGGTGATGGTAGGCCAGGAGACCAGCAGTGCTCTCTGGCCTTGCCTTGTTCTCTTGGGATGTTTTTTGTCCTCTCCCCTCTGTGAGGCTCAGTAGTCTTCTCAGAGGAGAGACACAGAAGCACATGCCTCTGAGTCAGCAGTGGTGCTGGATCACACTGTGCCTGATGCCTTTCTCGGTGATTCACTACATATTAGCTCATAGTCAAGGTTAAGGTGTTTTACAACTGGTTTGATTGTTCTCTCTTGATTACTTCCTGTTTATTTTAGGAGTGCATTTTATGGTCCCTTTCCCCCTCAATTAAATAAACTTTCAAAATGTTTTTCTTCTACTGAAATTATTTGTTAAATACACTTTGCTGCTAATTCAGGAGGCCAGGCTTCAATTAGTTACAGAGAGGCCCCTGTGTAGGCAGGTCCTGTCAGGTTGGGAGTCTGGTGCCCATTGCTGCAGGAACAGCCAGCCACTGACCCCCAGGCAGAGACAGCAAAGGAGGTGGAAGGACCCCCATGACCCAAGCCACATGATAGGTAAGATGAATGTGGGTTTTGGTGTCACACAGACCCGGTTTGTGTCCAGTTGGATGAGAATTTTGACTTCTTTGTGTCTTAGTTTCTGCATCTCTAAAATAGTTACCTTAAAAGGTGGTTGTAGAATTAAACATTACATGATGGATATACTTAAAGGACCTTGCACGGAGTCTGCCACACAGCAGGCACTCAGCATTATTATTCGGTTGGACCATACGTAATTGCCAATATTCTAACATTCTTGACTTACAAAAATGATTACATGTAGTTCAACCATTATTAATGACCAGTGGCTTTTTGGATGATAACAAAAATAGACTACGGATTGGAGATGAAGTGTCCTTCTATTATTATGTCGTTAGTGCCAGAGCAGGAGAATAACAGCTGCTTCTGCATGCTTCTGGGTTGTAGATAGAGAAATGCCCCACACATCCATGGCACTTTGGCCCAGAGCCTGAGTCCATGCCCCTGAGATGCTTTTCAGTGGGGCTGGGCTCTGTCTCCTGCCAGGACGCATGCAGGGGCCTGCCCAGACCAGCTGCCCTCAGGCCTGGGCAGTGAAGGCCATTTATAAAGCAAATCATGCTCTTGTTAAGCCAACAAGCCACCCACCTCTCTGGGTCTTAGATGATGTTGGCTCGTGAGCACCCTTGGGGGTATGAGGCCGTCAAGTCAAACACTGCCAGGCCTTCAAGTGCCTGCACTTGGCGTCTCCACACTTCCTGGAGGTGGGGCGTCTTCCCTTGGGTTTCTTTTCTCTTTTTTTAAAAAATTAATTTATTTTAATTTTGGCTGTGTTGTGTCTTTGTTGTTGCGCGTGGGCTTTCTCTGGTTGCGGCGAGCGGGGGCTACTCTTCGTTGCAGTGCGTGGGCTTCTCATCGCGGTGGCTTCTCTTGTTGCAGAGCACGGGCTCTAGGAGCACGGGCTTCAGTAGTTGTAGCATGAGGGCTCAGTAGTTGTGGCTCTCGAGCTCTAGAGTGCAGGCTCAGTAGTTGTGGCGCACGGGCTTAGTTGCTCCGCGGCATGTGGGATCTTCCGAGACCAGGGCTTGAACCCATGTCCCCTGCATTGGCAGGCAGATTCTTAACCACTGTGCCACCAGGAAAGCCCTTCCCTTGGGTTTCTTTATGCTGGTCTCTTCCACAAATACTTTCCTTCTGGGCTCTTGGAACTTCTTGCTTTGACTGAGAGGTTACCCCTTCCCATGTAGCTACCAGGAGTCTTGGCTGCGAGATAGGGCCACACAGAGCCTGCAGGGCTTTGCAAAATACACTCAGAAAACAGCAATAATGAGGTGCAGGCCGGAGGTAGGGCTGTTTCTGTGGTGGCTTCTGAGGATTAACTGGGGAAGAGCAGAGCTGCCCCAGGCTATTGGTCCTGCAATGTCCTAATATCTAGGGTTCCAGACTTAGCAAATAAAAATATTAGACTTCCAGTTAAAACTGAATTTTCAGGTAAACAACAAATCAATTTTTTTTTTAGTATAAGTATGTCCTAAATAGTGCATTTACTTATCCTGAAAGAATTAAAAAAAAAAAAAATTTGTCGTTTATCTGCAATTCACATTTAGCTGGGCATCCAGTTGGAAGGGTCACCCTGACCGATATCCTTCCATCCCACAAGCGGCACTTCTCCCATCAGTCAAAACACTGCTGACAAGGAGAGACATTGGATGGGGGTCAGAAGAATTTGGAGGATGAAGGCAGGGCTCAGGAGCACAGAGCAATCACACACCTTTATGGGATTATTTGGGTCATTTTAAGGAAGAGCAAGAGAGCAGGCTTCAGCAGGGCTTCTTGGACCTAGAAAAATTTGGATATAGTTATTGCTTGGCCATTTTCTCATGCAAGGAGACCGGGGTGGTGGGATCCATCAGGAAGTCACAAGCCTCTGATGCCTTTATGGTTCAGGAGACGCTCAAGGTGGATGATAATTTATAGCCATGTGGGAAGTTTTTTTCTACCAGGCATTGTCTGTGTCATAGCAGAGGACCCTGGGGACTGGCAGAGGGAGCCAGTGAAGGTGAATGCTAATGGGCCCGTTGGCTGTTCGCGATGTGGCCCAGCTGGCTTGGCCTGTGGTTTCTCCAGTTGTGGGAAAACAGCTGTGAAGGCAGTGACCCTTGTGTGGCCGAGGCAGGCAGCAATGCTGGGGGCAGGGAGTGGCAGCCTGGCCACCTCCTGGAGTGGGGCCGCGGGCTGGGAGCTGCTCATCAGGGCGGCAGGGCGTGAGAGCACAGCGCAGCCTTCTCGATGGGGCTGGCGCTGGGATTTATAGACAGTGAAGGAAGAGAGAGAAAAGTGTTCTCGCTTATCACACACCATATGGCACGCAGGCAGGGAGGCAGGCGCTAGGCGCTGGGTGTGTTTTGTTTAGGCTATCTTTAGGTATTTTTTTCCTTTTTTTCTTTAAGCCCATTCCAATCTTTTTTTCCCTTCTTCCTTTTTCCCCGAGGTTTTCATTCCATATATGGCGACAAGTATCTCTATCATAGAAAACTGCTCTGGCTGACACCTGCCTTCCAGGCTGGCTGCGTTGTCCCATTTTGTTCCTTTCACAGCCCTGGTGGGGCCTCCGAGGTGTACCTAATTTTATGATACACTGCATCCTCCTGGGGGTGTGGGTCCACTCTCAAGGCTCACTTGGTCAGCAGAGCTGAGGCAGATTTTGCTGCTTCCTTGGCCTCTCTCCCTCAGAGTCCACAAGCCCCAGTTTGGGGGATGGGCCCCCTTCTACTAGTGAAGGGGCCTAGAAACCTCTGTGGGTCCCCAAGGTCACAGGTGAAAGCCCACACACCTCCCCTCAGCCTCAGGGCTCTCCACAACTTGGCCTCAGTTTACCTGTCCAGCCGCATTTCTGCATCACATCACACGTGCCCTGGGCTCTTGTCAAGGTGGACTGACCCTTTACCCCTGGAATGTGTCCCTCGTGCTTCCCAGTCTTAGTTCTTGTGCTCACCCAGCACCTCTGGCACTTGAGTCACCAGAGGCCCAGGTTTTGTCATATCCGTGTACAACCACGTACCACCTGCATGGTTTTTGCATTTTTTGGTCTCAAACGTGCACCACCTGTGGTATTTTATTTCCTATTTTTTTCTTTCAATCATCCTTTTGCCTGAAAATAATTTATAGCAGAAACTGTACACTCCTGTAAGTGGAACACCAATTATTGCCTGCCAAAAGAGAAAGTAACTGTAAACAAAAATACATTGAAGACACAACAGTGGTGTTGAATTCTAACTGGGCTTCATTCTTTGCTGAAGTCCCTGAAGAAGCGGCCCGCTCTTCCTGTGTGTTAGAAGGGGAAGTTACAGAGTGCTGCGGAAGTATTAAAGACATGCTGGCACCACAATGAACTTTCCCTCTGATGCAATCAGAAGGACTAAATGGGTATTGACTGTGGAGTAACTTTCCAAATGTATGGGTCCTTTTATAGAGCCCTGCCCACGTGCCGTGGGAATCCATGCCATGAACCCCGTATGGAAAGCCCTAGGGCCTGGACTCATTCTGCTTTGATTGGCTGTGCCTTCCCCCTCTTGCCTGCTGAAGGGTTATCTGTGTTTCAAGGCTCAGTCAGCCACCAGGTCTTAAACATCCTCAGCCAGCCGATGTCCTTGGCCCTGGGGAGGCTGCCATCAGCTTCCTGCCTTCTCAGAGCTTGTTCCATGCTGCCCGACTCCCGCTTTTGGAATGATAGGCATGAAACAAATGCTTGCAAGACCCAACTGCGCTGAAGTGACTCATTGGGTCAGCTGGACTGTGGGGTCACAAGGAGCGTCTGATCAGGGACCTCTAACCACTCTTGGACCTCTGGCTGGGAGGTGATGGAGTTGAGGGTTTTGGATGCATGGCCGTGTTCCCTTATCACTCCACCATTTTCTGGTCTCTGTATTTACCTGGACGGTAACTGTGCTCCATCTTCAAGTCCTGCACAGCTCCTTGAGAGAGCCAGCCCTTTGTGAGGTCAGGTGCTTATGTCTGACGGCCAAACGAGAGCCTTTTCAGGAGTGGGGAAAGCAGGCGACAGCTTTGAGCTTATACAGGGACAGTGCAGAAGGCCAGGCGAGGCTGAGCACGGGGTCAGCTGCCTCACTCCCAACTGTGAGGATCCATGATCCCCTGCAGAGGCCTCCAGAAAACCTCTGGTGAGCGAAATCACGTGTCAGACATTGTCAAGGGAGCCAACAACAGGATTAATGTGAAAAGGAAAAAAAAACCCACTCCACACTAGATGAGGGTATATAAAAGCACCGTTGGTTTCTCTGAGTAGCTGCA